AACGAACACGAATTACAATACTTAGATCAGTAAAGTCTGCTTGCCGTCGAAGTTTACGTAGGGGTGCCCACAACCGGCGCACTTTCCCTAATTGAATTTAGGAAAATTCAATTCATTTTTGCAAATATGTAATTGAAATTTTGCCAAGAATTTTATTAAAATTTTGGAAAATAATTGAATTTCGAAGAAGAATTTTATTATTTTTGAAAATAATTATTGAATTTTTGCAATTATTTGAAACTTCTCCAAAATTAAAATTTTTTGTAGTGTTTTTAACTAAAATTCCTCGATAAATTCATTATTTTTAATAATTAATTAAATATATATATATATATATATATATATATATATATATATATATAGGTATATTAAAAAATTTAACTAATTTCAGAATTATTTAAATTTTGCAAATTTTTGCAAAAATGTAAGTTCTTTAGAATTTCTAATGAAATTCATTCAAAATTGAAATTTTATAAAATTTAAAGTTAAAATCTTTTCAAGTTCATCTATTTATGAAAATTGTAAACGAAACTATTTTAAAATTCAATTAATTTTGAAATGTATAAATAAAATTTTATTTATTATTCATTAAATAATTTCTAAGTTACAATTTTATGATAGTTCTTCAAGAATTAAGATATTTAAAAAGAAATTATTGTTAGAAATGGAAAAAATTGAAGGTTTTGTATTAGAATTTTTGTTTTTCTACAAAAAACTATTAATAATAATATTTGAATGTTAATTAATTATTTTTCTAAAGGTCTGCATTCTGTTGAATGAACCACCTTATAATTTATAAAATTCTTAACATATTTATATTATGTTGTGGTGTCAATAATCTAAATGAAAATTAAAACTCACTGAATTATATTACATGAAGTCTAAATTTTATGATTATACTTGGAAAAAGATTTCAAAAAAAGAAAAACTTGTTTATTTTTGATTAGAAAAAGGTAAAACGAGGTGAAAAAGGGTACAAATTAGCAAAAAAAGGGGAAAAAGGTGACGAACTGTGATGCCTGGATTTATATATTATTAATTTGCATAATAATAATAAATAATACAATAATAATAAAAAACAAATACTCGAAAGAATTATTTAAATTCAAATTGACAACATTTTCAGAAATTAACCAAAATCATGTTTACTTTCCATTTTCTCAATATTTGTAAGACCAATGAAGTTAAATTTTAATAATTAATTAAACAATAATAATTTTATGCAATAGCAAAAGTACTAGGCTCAAAGTGACACCAACTTTTTTAAGCTTTTATATCAAACTTCATTTCTTTTATAAATTTACATGTAAATTTATAAAGTGCACTTATTACTTATTAAAATAACCTCTAAATTACAATATATAGAAAAATATGTTACATAACAATTAATATTTAATTTTTAAAAATAAAGAATGGAAAAATTATTTGATATCAATTTTTTCAAAATAATTGACGAAAATCATTTTCAATTTCTATTTTTTTAATATTTGTAAAGCAACTCTCTAAATTTGAATCAGCGAAAAGTCGCTGATTCACCAGCCCAGAGTATGCAGCTGATGAAATAGCGTATATACACTGATGAAACAGCGTATATGCACTGATTTTCCAGCGTATATGGGTGATTAAATTTAAGATGTCATTTTTGATCCTACTAACTTTGATTTTTCGATGTTGGATTTTGAACTTAACAATACTCTATTTTGGTTGACTAGAATATATGATGGACAAAAATAATAGTGGTCGAGCAGGTGGAAGCAAATTTTAATTTTCACCAGGTGAAAAATGATAGGCAGAAATGATAAGAAATTTTCTGTTTTCGTTTATTCTTTTCTCAAATAAATTCTTACAACTTTAAAAAGTTAAAATATTTCAAATTACAATAATGAATGTTTCAACATGACTTAAAAAATATTTGTAATGAGTTCTGCCATAAATTAATATACTTTTGAAGACCAAAAAGACATGAACATTGAGGGACACCACTGACATTTTTGAAAGATTTCACTGATAATTTTTTTTGAATAGTGAGAATAAAATCAGCTTGTAAATTACAATCCAGTATCAAATCTTCATTAACTGCATATAAGGAGTAAATTTAACACAAATTGATTAAAAATAAAATAATAAGCTGCAAGAAACAGAATTTTGAGGGGACACCACTGACATTTTGCTTCATTTCTCAATTTCGAAAAAGAAAGACTTTATTTTTAAGTTCAAGTCGGTGCGGTTTTTAAAGTACACGTGTAATAACTGAAAACGAGATACAATAAAATTTAAAAAATATTAATATTATGAACAATTTTTTGATGGGGACACCACTGACATGGTGTGCTCGACAAAGTGTTACTTGCTTTCTGCCACCAACCGTACAAGTTATAGATGTGATAGAATCAACAATACTATTAACGCTTAATAAGGCAATAATCTGCACTAGGTTATTTAAATATCAGACATGATATTCAAAATTTGCGATAATTACTTAAAAATATGAAACTTACGGACAGGCGATTTTGATTTTTTTTCTAGCACTGGATCAAAATTATTCTGTTAGCACAATTACTATATAAAAATATAGACTCTTAGCTGTACAAAATAATTTTTCTGGTACTAGAAATGTGAGAATCAAAATTTTTATTATTAGGTAAAGTTCTGATTTCTTAAGTGCGGACAAGGGACACCACTGACATTTTGCTTCTAATTCTTCTGCCAAATTTTTTCAGAGAATTTCTACCCAGTGGGCACAAACACAAAAAACGTTGTTTAAACGTCTGTAGAACGTTTAATGTCTGACAATTTACGTTCAAAGAACATCCGAATGTTCCGAAACATTTTTGGAACAGTCGGACGTTCTTAAAACATAAATTGGCAGACATTAAACGTTCTACAGACGTTTAAAGAACGTTTTTTGTTTTTGTGCCCACTGGGTAGCGACTAAGAATTATTAATTTAAGTGGAAGGAGTGATTAAGAAAATTAATTGACTTCAAAAACTTTTATATATGAACTAGAGAATAATAATAATTAATTGAATAACAGTAATTTTAACAAATTTCTTTAAACAAATTGTTAAGTAATTTTATGTAATTTACAAGTGGTAATTCACTAACTGAAATAACATCTAAATATCAGCAATTAGAAAAATGTTTTTTGTTAAGTTCAGTAATAAATATAAATTAAAATTATTAAACATTGAAAAAATTAAACGAACAAAAAATGACTATAGTGGCTTGTAATTAATTACTTGCCCACAACACTTAGAAACTATTCAAAATTGTTATTTCCCGTAGAAAATCGAAAACTGCACTGAAAAACTGTTGGTAATTAATTAATTAATTAAATTTACATCGATTTCTATTGTTCGAACAATGGAAATCGATGTAGAGGGTATGCATCGCTTTAAGAAAAGTGCCTATTGTGGACTCAACCTGAACGCGCTGATACAACGCGCTCGTCCTATGTATTCCATATGGACGAGCGCGTTAATATCAGCGCGTTCACCGCATTGGGCGAACAGCTCTACCAACAGTTTTTCAGTGCGACCGTAATTTAAATAAAACGAACTAACTATATATATTAATCCAAACGGATATTTTCTTACCCAATCATAAAAATATCAAACATTCATCGAAATTGTTCTTATTTAAGGGCATCCGGGAAAAATCGCCCCAAAAAGTATTTTCCCACGTGTTGTCTCACTCCTAAATAACTATTAGAGATATCTCGTTCGGATTTATCAGGATAATTAGGGGAATTCGTGCTGATAAAGAGTATTCCCCATGGGGAATACTCTTTATCAGCATGAATTCCCAAATTTTTTAAACTTCCTTTAGGAGTTATGGAGGGGGAAAGAAAAAAAAAAAAAAAAATCATTTTTTTCGAAAAATACTTAATCGATTCGAATGGAATTTAAATATGTTATAAATATAGATAAGACAATTTTTAAAGAAATTTTAAAGAAATTAATTTTTAAATTTTCAAGAAAAATTTTTTTCATATTTTTTAATGATATACAACTCCAATTTTTTTAAAAATACCTTATAGAGTTTCGTCTTTAATATACATTTTTCCAGATTTTTGACAAATATAGTTTTTTAAAAGAAAAAAACCCAAAAATTCATTTTTTTCGGAAAGTACTTAACCGATTTAAATAAAATTTAAATGTGTTATAAACATAAATAAGACTCTTTAAAAAAATATTTTAAATTTAAAAAAAAAAATTCTAAACTAATTAATTTAAAATTTTCAAAAAAAAATTTTTTGCAACACTAACCTCTAAAATTGAATTTTACACACGGAAAACTGTGTTTAAAGTGTCACTTTTTGAAACAGTGCGTAAGGGTGAGATCCCATGTGAACAGAATATGTCGACCGAAAGCAGAAAATCATGAGTGCAAAAGAGATATATAGATATTGTTGTTCTTTTCACTCTCATGATTTTCTGCTTTCGGTCGACGTATTCTGCTCACATGGGATCGCACCCTTATAGTTACTTTTACGCACTGTTGGGTCTTTTTAATGATTATGCCCCGACAATCACGTTGGCAGAGAAACAACAATATTCATCAAGTTATCTATGCATTACTATAAAAGTTTTTGTAAAATACATAGTCTTTTTGGTTTCAGGAACATGTTGAAGGAAATATTTTTCAAGAAACTCACCGTTTCATTGGTTACAGAACTTTGGCGGAAGTGGTTAACTCTGTCCTCTACCGTCCAGTATTAGAACTCAGAATGTACATTTCCTGTATTACCGACTTAAATTACGCTCTCTGATTGGTCGATCCGAGTAGGCGGAAAAAAATCCAAATTTCAAATTCTTATTTATTTAATTGTTAATAATTACATGAATTCTTACTTATTCGCTTACTAATATATTACTTACTTCAGTTTCTATTGTGACTATCTATCATAGTACCTATTTGAATTTAAAATATTTAATTTTCATCAGAAATTACGTTCAGTTCCCTCTGGGGAGAATTTCTATGAACAAGTCAAGAGATCACGTGGTTCAGTGACATTTTGTATTGTAATCTGAGAAATTTCATGTGTTTTTATTTGTGAGAACACCTATAAAATTACTCGAAAAAGAAAACTATATTATAGGCGCGTGCCTTCGTGATAATATTTTATAGGCAATAAAAATAATTAGCAATGACAGACGAATCAATTGGCGAAGGAACATTCGAATTTGTCGAAAAGAGAGTTGACGAAGTTTCAATTTCCGGAGAGACTGTAAAAACTGGTTAGTAAACATGTAAAACAATAATAAAAGTGATCTATTTAACTGTCAAGTGCTATACCTTTATGACGATTACTGATAACAATATTGTTATTTGTAGCAAGTTTTCTCAATACCTATTTCCGTTGTTTGACAACTTGCTATCTTTGTTTACATTAATTGTCACAAATCTACTTTCCTTATGTTCGAAAAACCCTTCCGTATGTGTCAATTTATTTAATTGAATTTTTATGTTTAATAAAATGATCTTAACGGTAAAGATAAGGATATTTTTCAAACTTTTGTATATTACTTTTGGATTATTATTTCAAGTGACCTATAATGTAAACAATTTGATAAAAAATTTATTTATAACTTTGTCGTAATCTAATGAACAATTTTTTTAATTTCTTGAAATGAAGGTAAAGTAGTTAAGTATTTAAAATAACAGCTTCGTTACTGTAAAACTTTTTTTAGTTTTAAGAAATTTCTTTATTACTAATGATTTTATTATTTATTTATTACTAATAATGAAAATAATGAATATCAAATAAATTCGTGAGAAATAATTTGAAAATAAAACCTTTTTTTGTAATTTTAGATTCCCTGAGCAGTTTATCATCAGCTGCGAGTTTATTAACGCCTCTTGGTGTTTCAACGTCGACAGGAAGTCTTCTGTCGAGTATTGGACCTCCCAGTCTTTTGCCAAGTTTTATAACAAATTCATCGTCACAAATTGCGTCAACGCCCGTTTCTGCAAAGCCTGATAATTCAAATAATGTTAATCCAAGTAATGTGGATAATTTAGAGGAGGAGAATGAGAAAAAAAATCAAATACAGCAGGATATTCGAAATCAACCTTCAACTTCGTCATCGGATCAACAAGCAACAGTGAATGTTTCACTTACTGAAAATCAAGCCGTTGTTCTTGGTGCCGGTTTATTCTCTTGGGTAAAGGAAACTGTAGCGAATAGCAATGTCCTGAGCAAAGTCGCTGAAAAAGCAAAAAATAGTGTTAATTCTATGATCACAACTTTAGATCCACAAATGCGAGAATTCATCTGTAAGTTTCAATCCTTATTTTCATTATAATTCATTTTCTTTCGATTCAATATTTTAATTATAATCAGGGTTGTCACAAGTCAGGGAAATTAGAATTGGTCAGGGAAAAGTCAGGGATTTCTATTAAAAGCAGTGGAGAAAATTGAATTTTTAGAATTTATAAGAAAATTTTGAATTTTTGTTTTTTTTTGTTTGAATTTAAATAGAAATTTTAAGAACAACTGATTATACAGGAATTCAATTATTTTCAAAACTGATGAACTTCTTCGCATAAATTCAATTATGTTGAAAAATGTTTTACAATCCTTGTCAAAATTTCAATTATCTTTATAAATAATATAAAATTCTTCTCCGAAATTCAATTATTTTGAAAAATTTAAATAAAATTCTTGGCAAAATTTCAATTATTTTTAATATCTACTAATTTAATAGAATTTTCCAAAAGAATTCTATTATTTAAACAAAATTTTAATAAAAATTTAACACGAATTCAATTACTTACCAATTTTGCTTCCTCATAAAGGAAGCCTTATAGTGATGTCGATTTCCGAATTTTTTAGAATCAATTATTTTTACAAATTTTCAAGTGTAGTATATATAATTCGTCGAGAGGAACAAATGTCTGGATGTGTGTGTGTGTGTGTGTGTCACCGATTCTTGTGGACAAATTTTCTCTTACACGTCTTGTCGGATTTTGATAAAATTTTGTAGGTGTATTACGGTCATGAATACTAAAAATCAGACAGAAGGATTTTCAAAAATATCTAAAAAAAAAATTTTTTTCAACAATTTTTTAATTTTTGAAAAAATTAATTTTTGGATTTTTTAAAATAACTTTTTTCTATATTAAAATTTTTATTAATTCTTGTCAAAATTGCATTCCTGACATAAAAACGAATCGATTCATGTATATAAACATAAAGTATATATTTTATCAATATTTATAGAATTAATAAATATTTTAGATTTTCATAAAAAAATTAAAATTTTGTATTTTTTGAAATTTTATCTTAATACTTTAAAATAATTATTCTATAATAAAAAAATTGAATAATTAATTTTTTTTCAGGGTACTTTACCCGGTAGAAACTTTCTATTAAAACTATTATGAAAATGACCATAACGTTCACATTTTTTTACCTACAGAGTTAAAAATTGGCACACGTGTATTTTTACGCGTAGATCACACGAGAAATATAGCTAATGCGATTAAAAATTAATTTTGTTCGATTTTCGTAAAAAAGACATATAGAAAATAAATATATATATATATATATATATATATATATATATATATATATATATATATATATATATATATATATATATTATAGGAAAAAAAATTTATGATAAACTCTATAACATTAATTTTTTTTTTGATTTATTAAAAAGAAGATTTATTAATTATATTTAATAAACTATTATAATTATTTAACTTTTAAAATTATATATAATAATATATATTGAGGAAGCTTAATGGTCATGAAATGAACAACTTGTTTGCTTCCTCATGAGGAAGCTGGTGACGATTTTCAATTTTTCAAAAGAAGGTTATATGGACTCATTTTCATCTAAAACATATGTATATTCAATTATAAGCAAATGTCCAGATGTGTGTGTGTGTGTGTGTGTGTCACAAAAATTGTGTACAAATTATCTCAGACAAATTTTGATGGATTGTCCTGAAATTTTGCAGGTTTATTGCAGTCATTAATACCTAAAATCTGACACAAGGATTTTCAAAAATATCTACAAAAATTTTTTTATACAATTTTTTTAAAATTCAGAAAAAATTTTTTTTTGTATTTTTTGAAATAATTTTTTTATTTGTTAATATTTTAATTAATTTTTCTCAAAATTACATTCCTGACAAGAAAACGAATCGATTGATGTATACAAAGTAGGGGAACATAGTCTAGGTCGGCCACCTTTTTGACTTTTGTTTATAACTTTTTTTTAAAAATGAATTTGGACAATTAAAGTATATGGTTGGAAAGTCCTGTTTAATAGGAACATTTTTTCTGTACAAAGTAAATTGACAGGTTTAAAAATGAAAAAGTTATAAAGATTTAAAAAAAAAAAAATTTGTAGTCCAGGTTGGCCATTACAGTCAAGGTCGGCCATGTTTAAAATTCAAAGGGCATTAATCGTTAAAAAATAAAATAACATGTTTGGAGTTACGGAAAATTGATTCTTTATTGTTTACAGTTTGTAACTTAATGAAATAACAAAATAATAACAATAAACAATATAAAAAAATAAATTTAAATAAAAAAAAGTTTTGCACTAAAATATTAATAAAATTAAATAAAAATATTAATAAGATGATCAATTATATTATGAGTTATACAGAATTGCAGTTTTTGCAAATGAAGTAGCTCGTTCTCAACTTTGCGCATTTTAAACACATAGTGGCCGACCTTGGCAGTAAGTAACATTACCGAATTGTTGTAACCATAAAGAAATACGTTTCGGGATTCGATTTTTTACTTTGTTTTCCTTTCAACCATGAGTCCCACAAATTTTCTGCATACTTGCCTTGACGATTCAATTTGTTTTTTATCTTTTATTAATGGTTTTTCACATTATGCACAAAACTTTTTTTGAGCTTTTTTTGTACCGACGTCACAGAAAACACAATTTTCGATTTTCTGAAAATGTAATTGAACAAAAAGTTAGGTTTCACTAAGACAAGCTTCGACAAAAATGCGCGTAGGTGGCGCTAGTGAACTTGACAAAAAAACGCGAGTGGCCTACCTAGACAGTAGGCCAACCTTGACTACATTCCCCTATATATTTTATCAAAATTTATTAAATTAATAAATATTTTTCTTTTTAAAAAAAAATTCAAATTTTGTATTTTTTTCATAATTTATTTAATATTAATATTAATATTTTGAAAAAATTATTCTATCATAAAAAAGAAGCAATTGGCAAATGAAAGTGTAAATTTCACCAAATATTTATATAACAACTTATAAATTATAAATGATTTATATAATTTTATTTTTAACAAATCTTCTGGACGAACCCTTTTGTACATAGTTTTTCAAAAGTTTGCAAAACCGCAATTTTTATACATTGAAGAAGCTAAATGGTCATGAAATGAACAACTTGTTTATAAATTTCTTCGCACCAATTCAATTATTTTTAATTTTTCAATACAGAGAATTGACAAAAATAGTTCTAAGAAATTTAATTATTTCGAAAAATTTAAATAAAATTATTTTAAAAGTTTTATTAATTTAAAAAATTTTGACAAAATTCTTTACAAGATTTAGTTAATAAAATTGAAATTTTAATAAAATTTTTCTATACAATTCAATTATTTTTAATACAATTTTTCAAAGATAACACATTTTTTTTATGGGAATTCAATTATTTAAAAAATTTTTAATAAAATGCTTTATAAATTTGAAAAATTATAATAAAATTGGTCATAGAATACAATTATTTTCGTAAAACACAACATTCTTCCTAGGAATACAATTATTATTGGCAAAAATCTTTGTAAAAATTTTCGAAACAATTCAATTATTTTCGTAAAAAAATAAAAATTCTTCGAAGCAACTTAATTATTTAAAAAATTTTAATAAAATTATTTTCAAAAATAAACATTTTCACAGGAATTCAATTAGTAAAAAAATTTTTTTTTTTAATTCTTTGTCAAATTTCATTTGTTTTTAATTTTTTAAATGAAATTTAATTAAAATTATTTTTAAAAAGTTTCAAAAAATTCTAAAAAATTCAATTATTTAAAAAAATTTGAATAAAATTATTCGCTAGAAATCAATTATTTTCATAAATAATAAAATTTTTCTTGAGAATTCAATTATTTTCACAAATAAAATTCTTCACAGGAATTCAATTCTTTAAAAAAAAATTTAATAAAATTCGTTGCAGGAATTTAATTATTTTCATAAATAACAAAACTTATTGCAGAATTTCAATTATTTTTTATACAATTTTAAAAATAAAATGATAGAAAATTGCATTTATTTTTACAATCTTTTTTTAAATTTGTCGAAAGAATTCAATTGTTATTAAAAATTTTGATAAAATTCTTCATAAAAATTAAATTTTAAGAAACATGCAATTATTGAATAAATTATTTATTTTTGTATTTAAATAATTGAATTCTCGGGAAATTTTCTAATAAAAATTGATTAAAAGATGAATTTTACTTAAAATTTTAAATTATAATTGAATATTAAAAGCATTATAGCGTGAATTTTTAGAAATAATTGAATTTTGAAAAGGGTTCAAATTAAAATCTTTGAAAATTTGAATTTACAGTTACAATATTCTTATGATAAGAAATAATGATTTTTTCACTCTGGCATCTTAAATTTATTATAAAACATGAGGAAATCGATTTCGTCATGTTTTATAATAATATTCTCATAAGTTATTGAATTTGAGAATCTTAATTCCTATAGAAAAATAATAATGATGAAATATTTATTTAGAAAAGAAGTTATTGATGTTCTTCAGGGTCAGGAAAAAAGTGAAAATTTAGTCTGGAAATCAGGGAAAAACAAAATTTAAATTTTGTGGCAACCCTGATAATTCATTCTCTATCAATTAAAATTTTTTTTTCTTTCTTTTCAATTAACAATTTTATTTTCTTTCTCCACGATATTTACTATTTTAGTATTTTTCCAATTGGAAAATTATTAGTTACATTTTTTGATCAATGGATAGCGAGAAAAAGGAAATGTTTCTTCTACTTGTTCGCCAATAATAACCCGTGCAGAAATCGCCACTTTTGTTCCCGATTACCGCCCTGGCCCCGGTCGGGTTTTCATGATCTGGCCCCGACTTCGTGGCCCCGACCAGGACCAGGCCGGGTTTGCCCAAGGATCTACAAACAGCGCACAATGGGATTTTTTTTTACAATTTACTGTTCAAAACTGTCTACAGCCTACAATTCTTAACCGGTTTCAGTATTCTTTATTTTAAATTAAAGGCGAATAAATTCTTAAGACATCCCTTAAGGTCAATTTTTTAGTTCTTAATTGTTTATAATTTTTATTTTCAATCAAAGTTAACAAATTAATACAATTTTTCAAAAAAGGAGGCTTATTTTCTTATTCCGTTGCTGCATATGATCTGAATCAGTTCAAATTAATACAATATGACCACCACACAATTAATAAAACAGAAAGTAATTTATATCAATTGTTATAAACAATATTAATTAACAAATAGTTAACATTGATTCCTATTCCATTAAAAATTTTTTTTTCACATTTTCTTTTTAATTTAAGTCTATTTAAAGAATATTTGTCCTTTTTGATTAAAAAATAACTTATTTAAATTGTTATAAACAATATATTAAATAACAAATAGTTATGTAACTTATGTTCCTGTCCACCAAAAAAAATTTTTTTCACGTCTACTTTTTAATTTAAGTTCATTTTAAAAATATGTGTACTTTTTGTTTAAAAAATAACTTATTTAAATGGTTACAAATAATATTAATTAACAAATAGTTAATTTTTGTTCCTTTCCACCAAAAATTTTTTTTTCACGTTTACTTTTTTCTTTAGATAATGTTAAAAGACCACGGATATATAATATTAAATATTTAAATAAGTTATATTCTAAGCAAAAAAGACATATATTCTTTAAAAGAACCTAAGTAAAAAAGAAAATTTGTAACAAAAATTTTTTTTTGGGCAGAATCATAAGTTAACTATTTGTTAATTAATATTGTTTATAACAATTTAAATAAGTTATTTTTTAATCATAAAGGAAAAATAATCTTCAAATGAACTAAAATTAAAAAGAAAATGTGGAAAAAATATTTTTTATTGGAGAGGAATCAAAGTTAACTATTTGTTAATTAATGTTGTTTATGACAATTGAAATATATTACTTTATGGGTTTTTAATTGTCTGCTGGTAATATTGGATTAATTTGAACTGATTTAGAGCATGTGCAGTAACGGAATAAGAAAATGAACGTCCGTTTTTAAAAAAATTGTGTTAATTTGTTAACTTTGATTGAAATTTGAAAATAAAAATTATAAACAATCAAAAACTCAAAAATTGACCTCGAGGGATGTCTTAAGAATTTATTCTCCTTTAATTTAAAACAATAGGACAAACGCACCAATTGTCGAGGGTGAACCATTTGTCGATGTTATCATGGTAATAACCAAAAATATTGCATAAAATGTTAAATTTATTTGTGGTTATAATATTAACATATTATTTTTGACATTTATAACTCTTAAAAACTCTAAATTATTTTTCACACTTAAATTGAAATTCCATGTTTAAGGCAAAAAAAGAAATTATTATTAATTAATGATTTTCAGTATTATTGTGAATTATTAATAATAAAAATTTTTTTATTATTTTAAAAAATAGTTAAATTATAAATAATATAGAATGAATAATTAAATTAATAATTTTTACCATATTATTATGATAAACATATTAATTTATATATATAACATACATTTTTAATAATTTTTCTATAAATAAATATGATACAGTCAATTTATTATGATAGCACTGTATATAACGGTCCCATGATTCAAAAGGAAGTTTAAGCGAGGTCGCTTCCAAGCTTGCGTGGCTATGCGGTATGTGTATTCGACTTGCGTCCTCGAGGTCTAGGGTTCGATCCCCCGTGCGTGCGATATTTTTCCGTCTTAGTTTTAAGTGTTTTTTGTATAATTCTTAATAATGTTACATAAAGTATAGGTTTAAATAATTATTAACAATAATAATAATAAATTAGGCATTAATTTAAATAAGATAGTCTGTCTAAATTAATGAAAGAAAATAAGAAAAATATTTTTTTTTAAAACTTAGTTCAATAAAAGCAATTCTAATAATTATTTACATTTTTAATGACACTCATAAAAGTTTATTTACAACAAAAATATTAATAATAATTATTAATATTGAAGTAAATACTCCCCATGCTTTAATAATCAAATAACGAGCTTTAATATAATAAAATGCAGTCAGTATTGGATTTCTACCTGGGTAGCGAAAAGATCGGGGGAAATCCCATGGCCCCGACCGGGTCCCGACAGGGCGGACAGATCGGGCAAAGTGCCATGGCCCCGGTCAAAATTTCTGCACGGGAATCGATACTGAATTTAATGTTTTTGAAATCTAATTGTTAATGGGAAAGCTAGCGGAAAAAGTAGAATGAAACTTGATTTTTCGTTTTTAATTGATCAAAAAAGCAGTCGTTTACTGAAAAAAGAAATAAAATTTTAGATTCTGGTGGTGATGTAGATATATTCGTGGCATCGGACAAAGAAGTGAAAGTCAGTTCTATTCGTGAGGCTTTTCAAACTGTTTTTGGAAAAGCAACAGTAACGTAAGTTTGCCCTTTCTTTTTTTGTACTTTAAAAGTAGTTACCTTTATTTTGTACACGGCGAATAATTAATCAATAATAATTTTTCAGAGGAATACCAGTGAGTGTGACAACAGTTGCATCCCAACCAATTGGCTTTAATGCTGCGTTAAAAAGTGCCGAGGAAAGGATAAGTTTGACACGACAAAATCCAACAGTGACTCAGGATGCTCCAGTTGTGGCTGTTGAGAATTTCTTATTAAAAGTCGACGAGAATAAATGGTACGATCTTGGCGTAATACTTCTGGATGATCCAAAAAATAACGTTAGTTTACAAACTTTTACACAAATGACACCAGTGCCAAGTCAAATTGTGACAATGGCCGAGCAAGCGACACCGGAGGATTATCCACACAAAGAAACGGGATTAGCAATGACAGTTGGTAATTTATTAGCCAACAATTTACAGGTTAGTTTCCAAGTCATAAAAAGGTTGTCACAAAAATTTTATTTTCTTTTTCCCTGATTTCCAGACAAAATTTTCACTTTTTCCCTGACCCTGAATTATTATAGATACTCTAAAAATGTTCTATTACATTTATTTACGAATTTCTTTAATTGTAAAATTATTCGAAAACATCAGTAACTTCATTTTTAAATAAAATATTTAGTCATTATTTTTCTATAGGAATTAAGTTTCTCAAAAATTTCAAATTCAAACCTTTTTGAAATATTCAAAAACTTAGAATATTATTATAAAGCATGATAAAATTATTATTTTATACTATATAAAAATATTGTTACTTTAATTTCTCCAAAATTATTTTCATCATTTCAATTCAATTATTATTTTCTAGAATTTTTAATTAAAATTCTTCTTTAAATCAATTACTTTTAAGAATTTTTGAAAAAATTCTTTGGGAGTTTTCAAATCCATTTCTTTACAATTCAATTTTACCAAAAATTTCGATTATTCGAAAATTCTTCTATTAAATGTATGTTAGAAAATAAAAACTTCAAATAATTTCAAAATTAAATTTTACCAAAAATTTCGATTATTTGAAAATTCTTCTATTAAATGTTTGTTAACATTATAATTTGAAACCTTATCAAAATTCAATTATTTCTAAAAATTCACGCTATGTTTTACTATTTAATATTCATTTATTATCTAAAATTTCAATTGAAATTCATTTTTAAATCAAATTTTGTTAAAAAATTCAAGGTGATTTAAATTATTTAAATTAGAGCTGTGCAAAATTCGAACCAAACAGAGTTTTGTTCGGTTTTGGGGCGCCGAAATGTCGAATGTCGAATATTCGACATCCGAACTGGGCTAGTTCGAATGTCGGTTTTTCGACATTCGAACTAGGCGAAAAAATTCGAACAGTTCGGTTCGAATTATTTTGCACAGCTCTAATTTAAATACAAAAATAAATAATTTTTTGAATAATTGAATTGTCATAAAGAATTTTATTATAACAAATTTTTAAATAATATATTGAATTCTTTTGACGAATTTTAATAAAAATTTTAAGAATAATTAGGTACCTTAAACTGGGGCTATTAGGAACACCGGGGCTATTAGGAACAAAATTCTGTTTTCGGGTGGAGTTGATGCTATCGGCGCCGTTTATCGATAAATTGGGTTACTTGCTTTTGAAAAATTGTTGCTGCGGTAACTGGCAACACTTTTCAATGCAATAATTGTGATTATTAATAATTATTTTGTGAACAATAGTAGCTTGTAAGTGACTTAATGTGTTTTAGTGAAGTTTCAAACGTGGAAAACATTTGATTGCTGATGTAAGTTGTTTCATTTTTAACATCTCAAAGTGATTGTTTTTTATTAATGGGATTTCTTATGGTAAACATTATTGAGTTCACTAAGTAATAAATACGTTTATTTTGTATTTACAGTAAGATTTTAGAAACAAAAACCAAAATTCACAAACGGCGGGTATATAAGGAACACAATTATTTCTACCGAATTGTTAAAGTGTGTTGTCAAAACATAAGTTTTTCGTAATTTCTTTTGTTTTTTATCACCTAATTTAGTTTTTAGTGTTCAAAGATGGTTCGAAATTGTAAAAGAGTGTTGGTACCGACAAGTCGCAAAAAACGACCAGTGATTCCATCATCGACCTCTACTATGATACCAGCAACGTTTAAAACACACATTCGATCTTTTAGTTTTGTTTTTACATTTGTTTTATATTCTGTGTTTGCTTTCGAGCAATAAAAAATAACTTCTTTAATTTAAAATACGTTTTCTAATGGTTTTTACCGTCTTGTTCCTAATAGCCCCATTTTATAATTTCAAAAAAATGCGTCTTTTTCTTTTTTTTTGTTTAAAACTCCAGCTTCGATCAAGGCAATTATTTAACCCTTCAATGTGCTCGCCAAGATCAAGAAAAGAAACAAAAAATTACGGCAATATTTCAATACACAAAAAAGTTGCAAGACTTTAAAGTTGAAATCTGTTCCTAATAGCCCCAGTTTACGGTACATTTTACCAGAAATTTGATTAAAATTGTATTAAAAATAATTAAAATTCTGCTATGAGTTTTATTATTTATGAAAATAGTTGAATTCCTGAAAATAATTTTATTATTTATGAAAATAATTGAAACAGATTTGCTAATTTCACCATACAGGGTTCCTGCAGAAAACCGAATTTAAAATTCCATACCTTTTCCATGATTTCCAGGACAAATTTTTAGGAAATTCCAGTGGAATGTTAAATTTAATTTCCTCGTCGTATAATGTAAATCTGTTTTTAAATAGGGGAGACTGGGCGAAAAGTTAAATTTTGCATAAATTATTTTTTTTAGACAATATAATCCGCTTAGATGCAAATATTTAAATACATCAATATTATAGGGCAACTTATCCCCTACAACTTTCAATAAAAAAGTTTCTGATATTTTCGCATACAATACATGTTTTGTCCTTTTTTGAAAATTTTCAACATATGTAATTGAATTTCTAAAAAGAATTATTGAAAATAATTGAATTATATTATAATTGCGAAGAAATTTAGAGAAACTTTGTAAATAATTTGAATTCTTGTAAAATTTTTATTATTTATGACAATAATTAAATGTTTGCGTAGAATTTTATTGAAATTTTTTATTGAATTCTTGAGGGAAATTTTTAAAAATAATTATTGAAATTTTGCCAAGAATTTTATTACAATTTTTGAAAATATGTAATTGAATTTCAGAGAAGAATTTTATTATTCATAAAGATAATTAAAGTTTCGACGAGAATTTTTTTTAATTTTTGAACATAATTGAATTTTATTACTAATTTCAGATAAATTTGAATTATTAAAATTTTTCAAAATTCTAAGTTCTTTAAAATTTCTGATTTAATTAATTAAAATTTTCAAATTGAAATATTTTGAAGTTCATTTATTTATGAAAATTTTAAACGCAACTTTTTTAACATTCTATTAATTTTTAATTAATATTTCAGTAAAATTATTCATTAAATAATTTTTAAGTATCTACACTGAAAAAATGTTGAGTACCGTGCAATCCCCATCGTCGGAAAGTGGAGGAACTCTAGTTTGGATGTGCTACGATCTCAATTCGGAAAATCTACGTTTCTATGTCGGTGTTGCTGAACACCCAAGATTTGAGACTCAAAACCTTGAGACTGCAATAGCCGCATCTTGGGCGCTCAGCACGCCCGAGTTAGAAATGCAGCTGCTCCAAACTAAAGTCGTATCGCATTCGTAAATTTTCGGTCTACTTGGAACGGCTCGTCGCCCAAAACTTTTTCCGTGTAATAATCTTATGATAGTTCTGGAATAATTAAGTTATTTAAATAGAAATTATTGTCAGAAATAAAAAAAAATTGAAGGTTTTATATTCGTATGCATGGTAATTTCATAGTTTATGAAGCAAAAAAAAGGACACAAAAAATTAGAATTTTCTTATAAATTCTGGCAATTGAATTTTCTCCAGAACTTTTAATAAGAATATCTGAATTTCCCTGACCTGTGGCAACCCTGATATTTTAAAATACTGTAAAATTTTTAATTTATTTTGTACGAATTCATTAATTAATTGCAGGTTTCACACAATGAATGGCATCACGCCTTAACTGGAGTCTCGAGAAAAGACGTAATTCTACTGGCGGCAAAATCACTTGCCGGAATTTATAAAAACACCATAAATCCTGTATAATTTACTATCGAAGTTAATTAAGTTATCAAAGTTCGATTTGACACTATGTATAATCGTTTAATTGTAAATATTTAAATTTCAAAATCAGAACAAAGAGAACTTATTTAAAAGAAAAAAAAATATGTGCACAACATGCACAAGTTTTTTTAATCAAAAAAACACAAAATACCAGTTGATCTGTATAATTTTATGCAAAAAGAGAGAAAAGAAAAAAAAACTAACTCCATACAATATTTATATTGTAAACAATATCAATAAACTCTTTATAAGTACATTTCCGCATCAAATTTTTTCTTTTATGATTTTTTAATCTTAAAATTTTCCATTCAAAAAATATTTTCATTTCCAAGTAAACCAACATTTTATAAAATCAGTATAAGGGATGATATTGAAGAAAAACACTTTCTATTTTTTTTTAAAGTTTTGTTATTTCATAGTCGTTTCATTGTACGAGTACATTGTTCTTTTCGCAACCAATTTCATTATAGATTGCATTTTGCTATTGGATGTTTTTTTCAGTCAATTGAAAATTTACCGACAGTGCAATAACATAAACAACAAAAATACACTTAAAAAGAACGTAAAAAATACAATTTGTAATTTAATTAACAAGATTTTTCAATTTTTTTTGTTTTCCCTAAAAAAGACATTTGAATTTTTTTTCTCTTTTTCCCGATAATTTAACGTATAAAACACGAATACTCATTAAAAATATTTGCATTCTTCAACAATATTAGTTTCACTAAATTTCATGAAATAAATTGATTTTCTTTCTTTCTTTTTTTAATTCCAATATTTACTCTTGGAAAATAAATCGATTACGTTACTTTTAAATGTATTTCAGTATATATATATATAAGAGGCAGCGTTAGATTCAATTACAAAATTTAAATAAAATAAGTATTTAAATAAAGTATGTCAGTTACAATTTATCCAAATACGATGACAAATCTGGGAGACCTTCCTTTAATCCCTTTCGCTTACGAGTTTCCTAGAAAGAGAAAAAAAAACACTGTAAAACAGACTATTTGAAAAGAATTAAATTTTTCATTAATTTACTCAAAATTAAAAAAAGTATTTCAAATATTTTGTTCGTTTCCCTATTCTGGCAAACCAGATAATCTGGAGCACCGAAACTTTAAAAACGTTTAATATTCCACGAATTTAAAAACGACAAAGCATTTATAAGCAGGGCCATCAGTTATGATCGTGGCAATCGCTAAATAACATTAAATTATAAACTTTACCTAATTAACTATCCCTCTAATTTAAATCAATTGAATTGATACAAAATAATAAATTAATAAAATGAAAAACTTACTTGAACAACTGTGTATGGTCGAGTGGTGGATTCCATTGGATCTCCAGGAAGAATTTGCCAATGGTCAAATACACATTGTGGGAAAGCTTGACCGCCAGTATTGGAACGCAAATCAGCAGTGAATCCAAACGACTCATTAACGGGAAGATAAGCTCTAACAACAAACATAGGGGTACCAGCCACTTGTTGTTCTTCGAAAACATGACCTCTCCTGCGATTCAACACTCCATAAATTCCACCAACAGCAACTTCTGGGCACTGTAATAAAAAAAATTAATTAATTAATACTTTACATACAGGCAAATATTTATCGAGCGCTACAAACAAAATTTAGTATTCAATTACTATCAGTTAATGTTCATAGATTCCCTTCACAACGAATCAGAAGAGGTGTCAGAAAATATTTTTAGAACGTTCATCATTTAACTATTAATTCTCTCAAGCTACACGGAAAAAAATAGTGTGCTAAAAACACATGAGCGAAACTGTTGTGTATATTGCACGCACGTTGGGTATATTCACGCACACTACCATGCGTGATTTGCTTGGAATCCATCCTATTTTCGCATGGTGCCTTAGCGAAAGCCATATGAGCCATGGCTTTTACTACAACACCATGCGAAATTAGGATGGTTTCCAAGCAAATCACGCATGGTAGTGTGCGTGCAATATACGCAACAGTTCGCTATGTGTGTTTTTAGCACACTATTTTTTTCCGTGTATTAAATTAAAATTTATAAAATTCAGGCCTCGGATCGACTTTAACGAACAAAAAAAGTCGCTTTAGTCGATTAAAAATAGAAAAAAAAAGTCGAAAAAGTCGATTATTTAATTTAGTGTTGTCACAAATATTTTATTTTCTATTTCCCTGATTCTTCTGAATCAGAATTCTTTCTGAATTTAGAAATCAGTGAAGAATCAGGATTCTTCACTGATTTCTAAATTCAATTCATCAAAACTTGTATAATTTTGCTAAATAAAATATTCAAATACTTCTTCTGAATACTTCTTATTTCTTTTTTCACCAGGAAATAAAATTTTAAAAAAATCAAATTCTGAAATTTAATAATTTCTAAAAATTAAAACTACAGTGGAACCTCGATTATCCGAACCTCTGTTATCCGAACCCTCTATTATCCGAACTTTTTTTTGACCTCCCGAATCTTTCAAAGGAAAATAACGATATTTATGCCAGAAAAATCTTTAAAAATTCTGAATTCTATGTTTTATTAATATATTATTATGAATTAATATATATTTACGTATATATATACTGATGTATATTTAAAAAATGGATTAAATGAAATATATATATTTCAACTGTCGATTTTTTTACTTTAATTATATAAAAAAAATTAAAATCTCTATTATCCGAACTTTCGATTATCCGAACCCGGCCTTGCCTAGGTTAGTTCGGATAATCAAGGTTCCACTGTATGACCCTTACAAAAATTCAATTATTTTCTACAATTTTTAACTAAACTTCATTTCTAAATCATAGAAATTTATAGATTTATAGATCATTATCTATATTACTTTTTAATATTTTTCCGAAAGTTCTTCAAGAATTCAATTATTTAAATATAAAAATTCAATTTTTCTATAATAATTGAAACCGGTCATTTCTCATTTTAAAGATATGGTAGAATATATTCAAAAAATTTTAAAAAATAAATTCGTAAAATTAACTTTTTAAAAATATTTCTAAAAAATTTTTAAAAGACGAAAGTTAAGGATTGTCACAGCTGTGGTGAGGGGCAAGGGGATTGTTCCCATTACTCCCATGTAAAATCTTGCATGTTCGCAACCTCAAAAAAAAATTTCAGTTTCATAATTTTAATCAAAAATCCTATATAGTTTGGCCTAGAAGTATATGCCCCCTTTTCTTTGGGCTTAAGAATACGGCCCTGAAAATTGGTGACGTAACGTGACGTCACCTAACACTTCTGAATTTGGAGGTTATGCAAAAACATAACACTACTGAGGACATAACAGTTTGGAATCTAACAGTATGGGGACCTGACTGTAGTATATTGTCAGAGGTTAACCTCAAATTTTTTAGTGTTGAGAACACGAAAATTACAATAAACAAATGTAAAATATAATTATGATGCAAAAGAAACATAAAAGTTATTAACTTATGTTTAAGGAATATTATTAATTTCAAATGTACAGATCAAATTTGTATTTTTTTGAGGTTGTGTGTTGTTGCGATGTTGCCAAATTTTCATGTGTTTTTGTGTTTGATACTTATACAATTATTACTGTTTTGAAAACTAAAACTTTAATAATTATTTATTCATTAAGTCTGTGGTAAACTTTTTCTAAAATCTTCCAGTTTAAACTTTTTGACATTGTCTATCCATATACAAAACCACAGATTTTTCTCTCATTTCCTTCACACTTTTTTTCTAAGATTTATCTGAGCTTAGGCCTGTGCGGTTAACCGGTTAACTGGTTATAAAACCGGTTATTGTCATAACCGGTTAACCGGTTATAAAATTTTTGAGCAAACGGTTAACCTTTCTTCGGTTATTTTGAAATAACCGGTTATTTAGAAATAACCGGTTATTTTAGAATAACCAATTGTTTATTTATTTTCTATTTTCAAAAAACATAAAATTAGTGTGTGCAATTAAACTCTATGTGCTTAAGGGGACCGTACACCACTTTTGCGTGTTTTTTCAACATTTATTTTTTCATAGTAAAATGTATCGAAACACTGGGCTCTTTTCACACATATTAACATACATATTGAGGATTAAGAAAAAAATATTTTTTTATTTATTCTGCCCTTGATGGCGACAAATTGGCGGCTGAAGTGATTGTCCGGAAAAAACTGGTTGACACGATATCTCTGCTTCAAAATGTCGGAAACAAAAAATCAAAAGAATTTCTTAAAATATATGTCAGTAAACAAAAAAAAAATGAATTTGAATAAAAAATGAGAAAATGGCGGCGGTTTAAATTTTTTTACCCCTTTTCCACCCCTAAAACGGTAAAAAAATGGGGTTAAAAATGGATATAGAATGTTGGTTGCGGTTCAGGCCATAGCCACTGATATATATTTTAAGAAATTCTTTTCATTTTTTGTTTTCGACATTTTGAAGCAGAGATAACGTGTCAACCAGTTTTTTCCGGACAATCACTTTAACCGCCATTTTGTCGCCATGAAGGTCAGAATAAATAAAAAAATATTTTTTTCTTAATCCTCAATATGTGTGGTTATATGTGTGAAAAGAGCCCAGTGTTTCGATACATCAAAATGTAAAATAAAACACGCAAAAGTGTTGTACGGTCCCCTTAAAGAAAAATTCATTTTTGAAAAATTACATTAAAAAATCTAAGAAACTATTAAAATATTTAAATTTAGATTTGAAAATTTTGCCTTCCGTTTTGCAAATTAGATGTTTAAGAAACAATTTTATCTAAACAAATAAAAATAATGCTTCTCTTTCCCTGTAATTCCCACTTTGTCGCACTTCGGGCGCAGGACACGCGAGTCACGCGGTGAGTGCATAATGAGACGCATTTAGCGGTCACTCGTTCTGATTTTGTTGCACTTTAGTCACACCGTGCTTGCTCAATGAGACACATTTTGCTGTCGCTCGTGCTAATTTTGTAGCATGCGTGAGGACATAAACGTAATACTTTGAAATGAGGGGTTGATAGTAAAAGTGGTAATTAGGAGCAAAAGTGGGATAAGTGACTTGGGCGCAAATACGGGCTAAAATGATTTTGTAATTTATGGATAAATTAATTATAATTAATAATCAAAAAATATTTAAAATAGTAAAGAAAAACTTTAATATTTTGCAAGTCATTCGTGTAATAAACTTATTGATAAATATTTTAATTGTTTTAAACCATTTTTGCTACCAAGTCACTTATCCCACTTTTTCTCCCAATGTTTTTTTAAACCACTTTATATCAGCCCCTCAAATAATCTTATATTACATTAAATCAATAAAATTTATGAATTTATGAAAATTACTTTAATGATAACTTGTAGAAATTTTTAAAATTGAATTTAATAATTTAAAATTTAATATAAAATTTATATTTTATTAATTTATATAATATGCATATGAGCCATTCCATTATATTTAGACTAAAGTCGTTGCCGACTAATTTTAAAAAAGTATAATATTTTGCAGGAATGATTTTAAAGATATTAGAATCGTCGAACAAAAAGAATTTTTAAATTATATTTTTTATATTTATTGTAAAATAAGCATCTTCTTATTATTGCCCAATTTTCGTAATTTTTCAATTTTCTGGGCAGAAGTTATTTACACCCAGTAAACGAAAACTAATTGAAATGAATTAAAAAGAATTCACAAAGAGCTTTCGTGAATCCCGCTTTGTGACAAATACGAATTGGAGCCTACCAAAAATGTTAATTCGTTTCAATTCATTTGAATTAGTTTTTTTTTACTGGGCATTTTAAAATCGTGAAAATAAGCAAAGTGCCAGTTTTAATTGCTTATTTTTTAACATTTGTGAAGAAAAAAGGAAGAATGTGATAAGAAACACTAAAAGTTATTAAAAGTTTCTTTATATTTCATACACGGAAAAAAAAAGTTCCCAGATATTTCAGGAATTATTTCCTAACTCTTGGATACGTGGTAACAGCTCTGAACTAGCGACGAACATTCAATGGTAATCAATGAATGTTTGAAAGAAATTCGGGAACTGTATTAGAAAAAGCTATAAATAGTCCATTAGTCTCTTTTTCATTACTTTCTCATGTAAAGTTCATGGCACTGGCCGCAACTGTTTTTGAAATTTTCGGGAACTCGTCAAGGAATCTTGGTGCGCAGAAACTGTGCATTAAACACGGCGGACAAAGTTAACAAATACAGATCAAGGGAAAAATATTATTGGCTACATCAGAATTAGGGTTGGGAGAGGGGGCGAGATGCAAGCCGCCTGCATTCGCAAACCACAAGCATAGTTTAATTAATAAACTTTTTTCTATTTCAGAAACTTAATAAAAAATAAAAATTGTATGTAACCTTCAAGGATAAATGTGTGTGTGTGCGCACGTGTCAAGGAGGGGAAGTGGGAGGGGGTAAGCAGAATCCATTTTTTCTTGCATTCGCCTAACTTTTCGATTTTCTTGAACAGTTCCCGACTTTTTTAAGAACAGTTTGCTGATAAGTGGTGAAATAGTTATAATTTGTAGAGAAATAGTAAATTACATATTTAAAAGAGGCAACCTTTAGTTATCTGTGTACTACCCGCCGTATCCAAGAGTTAAGAACGAAGTTCCCGAATAATCCTCGAACTTTTTTTTTCCGTGTAAGGTTTTATTCAATTTAATGATTTCTCTTTCTCACATTTAGCGAATAAAATTTGCAAAAATAGGTTATTTGCCAGGTGAACTTTAACATAATTTTTTATTTAATATTTCTTAATAATAATTGTTTCTATCAATTTATAATAATAAAATAATTAATTCATAATAAATTCTAATAATTTTTTTACGTTTTCATAGTAAATTATGTGTTTTCTTTAATATTTTCTAATAGACAGTTTTTACGACTTTATATACTTTAGATGCTTATTTTACAATAAATATAAAAAATATTTAAGAAATTCTTTTTGTTCGATGATCATTCCTGTTCAAAATCATTCCTGCAAAATATTATAATTTTTTTAAATTAGTCGGCAAAGACTTTAGTCGAAATATAATGGAATGACTTATATGTATATATTTGACTTTATAATTTTTTAATGTTCGCGGTCTCACCGATGCGCATGTGCGCAGGGTGCGCAGCCAATTTTCCCAATATGGCCGAAAATGTACAATATATTTATCATAAATAATCCTTAAAAACGCACGAGACTCGCATTTTACTCTCATGAATCATGCACCTTTATGACATGCGAGCGTAATGCGTCTCATATGAAGACGCATCTGTCTGCATCAGTGAAGGCACGAGTGCGAAAAGAAACCTCGTACATGCGAGCGATATGAGAAGCATATCAATCTCAAATTGTTATCTGGGTTGTTACTTCAAAAAAACCGAAAAAACGGTTAACCGGATATTTTATAATAACCGAATAAACGGTTAATCGGTTATTTCATAATAACCGAATAACCGGTTAATCGGTTATATAGTTAAAACCGGTTAACCGGGTTAATAACCGGTTATTTCAATCACCGGAAACCGGTTACAGAATTCAATAACCGCACAGACCTAGTCGGTCGAGTTATTTGATCGGGACCCTCAATTAATGGATGATGAATTAGAATTTTAATAAAATTCCAGAAAAAAAATTGAATTTTGCAAAGAGTTTTTATTAAAATTCATGAAAATAATTGAATTTTTCAATAAATTTAAAAAAAAATCCTGAAAGTTGAATTTAGACAAAATTTTTTATTAAAATTCCTGAAAATAATTGAATTATGCAATAAATTTTTTAAAAATTCCTGAAAATTGGATTTAGATAAAAATTTGATTAAAATTCATGAAAATATGTAATATACACCTTTTCATTTCAATTATTTTCTTTGCGCATGCGTTATATGGAATTGAAGTTCCGTTTCAAGTTTCGGTCCTGTTTACAGCTATTGCATTATTCAGATATGAAAAAAATTATAAAAAGTGTTCTAATAATTATTATATGTTGCATAAAAATGGAGTATAATAATTATAACAAATACTGGAATAAATTTAATGAAAAAATTAGGGACGGAGCATATATTAATTATTTTATCAATAAGTTATTTTTGAAATATCAATAATTTATTTTAGTTTTTTTGCATTTCTACATGCAACGTTAATAAAAACAATAAATAAAAGTGAAAGAGGTAACTATTGTGTTTTTCACATTTCATCAGCGAATAACAATATGTCAATATATAGTAAACATAACCTCACTCTGGAACCAACTCTTTTTTCTTCTTTTAGTTGACTGTTTTGTGCACTGCAGTGATATTTTAATTGCAAATTTAACTGCGTGTTTTTATGTTTAAATTTGATACCAATTTTGCACCGGACACATTTTCTTTTCTCTATAAAAACATGAGCAAAAGTAAAGTTTTAACACATGTTAATAGAACAGGGCCGAAACTTTTAAAATTGGTGAACTGTCATGGTTGCTGCGCAGGCGCATTCGCAACTTCCGAATTGAAATGAAAAGGTCTACACTGTAAAAAATGTTGGGTAAAATTTACACCGTCGCACGAGGGGAATAAAAGGACCCTCGTCGCACGGTGTGAAATCACCCTGAGCCTCAAATGAATTTTACATCGACACACGATGTATATTTTTTTTGTACATCGTGCGTCGATGTAAATTTCATTCGAGGCTCAGGGTGATTTCACATCGTGCGACGAGGGTCCTTTTATTGCCCTCGTGCGACGGTGTAAATTTCACCTAACATTTTTTACAGTGTATTGAATTTTGCAACGAATTTTAATAAAATTCCTGAAAATTAAATTTAGACAAAAATTGAATTAAAATTTCTGAAAATAATTGAATTTTGCACAAAGTTTTATTAAAATTATAGATGAATTAGAATTTTAATAAAATTCCAGAATAAAAATGGATTTTGCAATTAATTTTTTTAAAATTCCCGAAAATTCAATTTAGACAAAATTTTTATTAAAATTCCTGAAAATAATTGAATTTTTCAATAAATTTTTTTTAAAATTCCTAAAAAATGGAATTTAGACATAAATTTGATTAAAATTCATGAAAATAATTGAATTTTGCAACAAATTTTAATAAAATTTCCTAAAATAATTAAATTTTGCAAAAAAATTTATTAAACAAATAAATAATCGAGTTTTTAAAAAATATTTTAAAAATAATCAAATTTTTGATGAATTTTAATCTATCTATATTAATAAAATCAGACTTTTGTCTGTACATTGCACGAAATTAATTTTTTCTAGCATAATTTATTTATTTGAACAACGGAGAATCCAAAAATGGTAATAGAAAATTTCCTGTATGTATGTATGTATGTATGTATGTATGTATGTATGTATGTATGTATGTCCGCAAAATTTTGTTCGCGTATAACTTGAAAACGTCTTGACCGATTGAAGTAAAATTTGCATAGAGATAATATAAATAGAGTGGGGATGGTTTGCATGTATGCGTCCGCTTGATAGAAAGAGAAAGAAGATTTAGCACCAGTAGGTGTCTCTCTTGCGCTGGAGCTCATTGAAGGACAGATACTGGTGTTAAATCTTCTTTCTCCCTCCAACCCATTCTGTTTATGGCAGGACACTTCCCCCACACGCTGCCGCCTATACCTTCCCCACTCTATTTATAATATCTCTATGAAAATTTGGCAATCTTTCAGGTATTGGTCTAACTTAAAATATTAGCTATATTTGATGAAAAAATATTGAGCTGAACAAAAGTTATGAATTTTTCAAAAAATTCAAAAAAAAATTTTTTTTCAATTTTTGCAGATTGGCATAAATTTTTTAATTTATTAATAATATAAATGATTTTAAAGATATATAAAAATAAATTGAATAAAAAATAATATTAATATGAAAAAAAATTATGAATTTTCCAAAAAATTCAAATTTTTTTTTAAATTTTGACAGATTGCTGTAAATTAATCAGTTATGACTTTTGTAAGATATATATAAGCAATAAATTTGCAGATTTTAAATATATTAATTAGAACGGGAGGTATTCAATTTTTTCAAAAAATTAAAAAAATGGAAAATTTCCAAATTTTATATTTTTTAATGTATATTTTTTAAACTTTCTGTAATTAAATATTTTTATTGTTTATACTCCTGCCCTATTGGCCTTACGCACTTCGACAAGAGTCCCCGAGAAATACTTTTTTGGATTAAGCATAACCATTCTACTTTAGAAATTTTCTATATATTAACCTAATTTGCGTCTACAGCCGACTTTATTAGGAGTACTCAATTGCAAAAATTTCGAAAATATTAAAAATGGAGATTCTTATGATAAAATTGATACTGCAGGAATTCAAGAATATGTGATACGATACTTGCATTATGCTACTGGGAAAAAACTTAGATAGTAAAAAGTTTGGTTATTTTAATTCTAGATTTAACTTTTAGGGATGTTTTGAGCATTGTAAAGGCAAAAGTTAAACAGGGTGTCTATTATTATTTTTGTTTAACAAACTATCCGGTTTTCCCAGCTTTGTCCAAATTTTTCCAGGTGTATCTTTTCTCATCAAATATAAATTTTCTTGATAAGAATTAACAATAAATAAAACTACAAATGGCTATAAAAATTCACTTATTTTATGAAAATACTCTTCGACGGGTTTTTGTTTTTACTAATACTTTTAACAGGGGTTCTACCAACTGGAAAAAACGGGAAATATGCAGGAATTTAATTTAATCGGGAAAAACTGTGAATTCAGCCTGCAATATAGGTCTTATTTTAGATTTTAGCAATTATAATACAATTAGTTCGAATTTGACTTCACTATAACTCCAAAAACTGGTGGAAATTTTGGATTAACTTATATACAATAATTAAATTTCTACAAATAATTGACAAAACATTGTTCTCTGCATTTTAATTAATTAAAAATAAATTATTTGATGGTAAAAAGTCAATCACTGATTTAAAATAGTAATATTTTTCTAATGAAATAGTTAATGGTAGCTAAATATTATTTTTTCCGGTCAAATTAAATTCCCCGCTATTTCCCATTTTTCGAGACTGGTCGACACACTATTGAATGTATTTGTAGAAACTAAAACCCGTCGAAGACGGGTACGACAGCTAGTTATAAATAATTTCTCAAAAATTCTAATAGTGAATTTTAAAAAATTTTAAATTACTTTGTCAGAGAATTACTTTTTTCAAAACTATTTTAATATTTTCATTTTTTATCGAATTTACACTTGAAGATTATTCATTAAATTTTTTAAAAATTCAATTATTTCCAAAATTTTCAATAAAAAATTCTATAATACCTAGTTAATTTTCAAAAAGTATAATAAAATACTTGAAAAAAAGGATTTATTTTCAATTAATTTTACTAAATTTCAATTATTCGGAATCTTTTTAATTGTATATATTTCAAAAATTTAATTAGAAAAAATTTTCAAAAAAAAATTTGCAGCATTTTATACTAAAAATATGGTATTTTGTCGCAAAATTTGGAAGAAAAGTCGAAAAAGTCGCATTATTTGAAAATAGTCGAAAAAATCATAATATCCGAGGCCTGAAAATTTAAAAGAGAAAATTAAAAATTCAGTTCGTTTTACCTGAATTTCACACAAGTAAACGGGCTCCATAAGTCTCGGTTTTGCAGTGAGAAGGCAAGCGTACAAGCAACGTCTCGTTGTAGGAATGATTTGACCACCTCCTCTGTGAATGGCGTCAGCATGCAACGTAACATCCTCGATGTCGAATCGGACTCCTCTCAAATTTTCCTCAGAAAGAACTCCCTATCGCAAAGAAAAAGACAATTAAATTAATTAACGAAGAAAAAAATCAAAGTCAAAGCAGAAATAAAAGTTAACAAACTTAGAAATTTACCTCTTTCGTTGCCCATTGGAATCCAGCTACAACTGAATCCTTAATTTCATTAAGATATTGCACTCCCTTTGTGCAGTCGACAAGGATATTTGGTCCAGTTCCATCGGGGCCGAAGCACCAGATTTTCCTGGCCTCTGTAACATCGTAGTCGTATTTTTCGCTAAGATAACGAGCTCGCACTTTGAAGTCGTCTCTTGGATTGACCTCTCCCTGTTAAAAAGAAAAATTTCCTTTAAAAAAAACTCAATTCTGAAACTTGAGTAAATCATTCCTTATTCTATTATATCGTCAGTTGGCCGTTCTTAACTGTCTTTCATTAAAATTCAGAACAGGTCTGTGAAGAACAATCATCATTTCTGACGTGTTTTGGAAAAACACAGTAACTGCAGAAAAATCGAAAAATGAGTTTTTTATATCGTTGGAATCGTAAAAAAAATACACCTGTTTATGCAAAGCATTTTTTAAAATTATTAACTTAATTAATAATAATTTTTTAATAATTATGCTATTTTCACAGTAACTGCAAAAATTGGCAAGTCATAATTCGAGAAACTGGGTTAACTGCAAGATACTGGTGCCATATTTGGGCATTGTGACGTATTTTGAGGGTCGTGATTTCAAACACCAAGTAACTGCACAGTTACTTGGTTTTTCAAAATAGTAGCGTTCATTTTCGAGCCCTCGTCGCACGAAACACCAAGTAACTGCAGAGCGCTCTGGAAGCAGTTCAGTTACCTAAGTTTCTCGTGCGACAAGGACTCAAAAAGGAACGCCAATAATTTGAAAGACCAAGTAACTGCAGAATTTTATATAGAGCTCGTGAAAGTTGCAATACATTTAAAATTATTATAATTAATAATTTTCCATTAATATAATTAATAAATTATTAAAAATTAATTTATATGTTATAATTTAATTTACAATTATTAATTGATAATTTTTAATTATAAATTAAATTTATTTTACTTTTATTAACTTAAAATTATTTTTAAGAAATAAAAATAATTTATTTTAATTAAAAAAATAAAAGTAATTAATAATTAAAATACAGCGTCAAGAATTAGCGATCTACTTTACCATGGTTGAAGACAGTGACATCTGCATAGAAATAAGTGTATATCAAGCAAACAGAATTTGACGTTTTTAAAGTGTTTTTTAGTGATTGTTAACTATTAATATACAAGTAAGTTTTTAAAAATATTGATATTATTGAAAGATAATTTTTAGCATTATCTCTACATTTTAAATTTTACATTATTTTTGAGTTTATCTAGATATTAAAAATAATTTTATACGTACATAGACACTTTGAAACAAAATTAACCTCACTTTTTTAGGTACTTCTCAAAAATATACTCAATGAGCAGAATTTGACAATAATACATTTAATTTGAAAATGGACGAATTTTACAGTTCTTATGGTAAGTGTTATATTAGAATGGAAGTCACTTTTACCAATCCACAAATTTTCCAATTTTATTTTTTCAAAAAATTTATATTTCTAAACTAATTTTACCAACAAAAAATGGTACCAAAAAAAAATTTATACCAAAAAAATGTATACAAAATATACTTTTTTCAAAAAAAAATTGAACAAAAATGTTAATGATCTGTATAAATTCTTGTGAATATTCTATAGAATTTCAGTAGAACGATCCCATAGAATTGCTACAAAAATAAATTGTACTAAATTTTAGTGATCTTTAATTAGAATAAATATAAACGTGGAATATTTTTTTTAAACATTATATTATTATAAGGTCACTAATTGTAAGTGAAAAAAATTATCTAAATGTTCTAAACAATTTTTGCGTAAACAGTAGTAGTAGTTTCGGTGATAGAGCTTTAACAATGAATTCGCAATATCCGCCTCAAGATAATTCAAGTCATCAGTTTTTAACAACTAAAGAAAATTCTTTTCAAAAACCTCCAGAAAATTCTGAGTTTCCTGAAGGAAGGACTCAAAATGAAAATTCACAAGACTTAAAAAATGATGAATTTTCTTCTTGCAATGAAAATTGTAAATTTCAATGCTTCAAAAAAATAAACTCACTTGATCGTCAAATTATAAATAGAGAATACAGGAATTCAATGAATTTGCAAAAAAGGCGTAGTTTTGTTCTCACTCATGTCGAAAGAAAACCAGTTGAAAGGAGAACAAGTAATAATGAAAAACGAAAATATACGTTTTCGTATTTTTTAACGACTTCTAATAATACAAAATTTCAAGTTTGCAAATTCTTTTTTTTATCAACTTTGGGTTACAATTTTAAAAATGACTTTTTTATAACCGCTGCATTTAAAGATGTTAATCCTGTCACATTAGAGCCTGTTGCAGATAAAAGAGGAAAGAATAAAAATGAAAATTCTCTGCAATTAAAAACAATGATAAAAGAACACATAGAGTCGTATCATCCTATGGTGTCCCACTATCGCCGAGAACACGCTCCAAACAGGCGATATTTACCGAATGACGTAACAATAACAGACATGCACCAGGACTTTCAAAAACAGTATCCTGAACATTCGTGTAGTTATACATTTTACCGAAATATTGTATCTGACATGAAAATTTCATTCACACAGTTAGGAAACGAAGAATGTGAAACTTGCGAACTCTTTAAGCAACACAATCCACACCACACAAAAGAAGATCTTGACACGGCATGTGATGTTTGTAACAATTGGTCAGTTCATCATGAAAAGTATATTGCTGCTCGCGAAAAATATGATTTTCATGTTAAACAAGTAGGTGTTTCTGGTTTTAGTGACTTAAAATGTTCAGTTGATCTACAGAAGGTTATTATGCTTCCAAGAATGGAAGGTTTCAAAGTTGTTCTATTTACTAGGCTTCTCATTGGCTTTAATGAAAGTTTTGTACCCTTGGGTTCAACTTCGAAGATTCATTCCATCACCAGGTGGAATTGTATATGAAAAAAAAAGGAAATATTTACGATTTTCAGGATTTTAAAGAAGCAGTTCAAAAGGCCAATGACAGAAATGTTGACGTCAAAATAATGACAGCTTCAGACTTTATTCCTTGGGAGGATCATTCCTCAGCTCCAAAATTGAAAAAAATAACCTCAGAAACTCACGTAAATAAAATAAAACATCTAAAAGCAACCAGAGGTAGTTTCAATTTAGCATTCAGCACTGACTACACCGAAACAAATTTAAAAACATTCGATTTTTTAAAAAATAAGTTAAAAAAAATTATGAAAAGCCACAAAACAATGCGCAAAATCGAGGAATTTCGACGACAAAAAAGGCAGATATTGTTACAAAACTTCTTCCGATAATACCTAAAACTCGTCATTTTTTTGGAACAATTTAACAGTAAACAACTGTTCTGAAGATTTAATATCCAACCAGGAATGTTAATAATATTCAATTTTACGTTTTATATTTACTATAAAAAACATCTTATTTCAAAGCAGAAAGGAAGTCTTAATTCTAGATAAAATATTTTTAAAGTAGCTTAATTAATTAATTTTTGCAATATAAAAAAGTTTTAAATATTTTATAGCAATCATTTGAAATTAAGATTTTCTTGTTAATATGTTGGTTCCGTTCTAATCCGTGTGCAAGATGTTTCTAAAAGCTTTGTCTATTACATGATGTATTATTTATAAAAGTGTGATATATGTGACGTTCCGCGACAAAAGGGACCTTAGGTCCGAAAAAATTAATTTCGAGTTATGTATATTATTCAATATTTATTGAGTTGCTCTTTCACATACAAGCATCAAAAATAATTTTTACTTATAGATTTTTTTGTTATTAATGTTTAAAAATGAGCTTGTTGAGTGTTTACACGTGGTTGTTCAGAAAAGCAGCCCCTCTACTTTTCAATACAACTGCACTGGTCATCTACATACAATTTGTGCGCTTCGTGTAACGCGGACAAAATTTGTCCGCTGACAAATGATATTTAATATCAATGTGTAGTGAGTAGTGGGGCTGAATTCTAGTAGAACGTCTCCACCAATCAGAGACGCACTACTTCAATCGCCTTTCCTGCAGAATTCACTATTGGGAGCTAAGGTCCCTTTTGTCGCGGACAGTCACATATGTGTAATAAATATTTTTCCAGCAATATTGTATTTTTATAGGTACAATAAATAATTATATTATATTGCGCAGGGTTTTTTCTTGATTTTATTTTTAATTTTATTTACATAATATTATATATATGTGCGATTCCATGAGAGATTTTAGTTTTTTCGGAGTAAGTAAACCAATTGCAATGAAACTTAGGAATTTTAATCTACTCATAAAAAGAAATATTTCCACCAAATATTACGTCAAAATATTTAGTAGTTTTTGAGATGTCGAAATTTTGGAAAAATTTTGAAATCGTTATATCTTCTTTCTATCTTAACCAAATCACTTAATTCTTCTTGGAAAAAATTCAGCATAAAAAAACCAAAAAATTGTTTATATTATGTTTACAAAAAAAATTTATAAACAAAAAAGTTATTAAATAATAATTGAATAACTTTTGAACACAAGGACGAAATTGAATGAGGCAAACACTAAAAAAATCTTAGTTGCGGTTTCTATAAGATTCCGAAATAAAAATTTTGTAATGAGAATGTCTTCGTATAATATTTTTAATATTTTTGTTCACTTTTGTGCATAAACATTAGAAGTTTCTGCTACTTGGCGTGTAATTTTAGATGCGCGCGCAGACCTCTCTTTCTAATCAGCTGCTAACTTCCGGTTTTAGAGAGAGGTCTGCGCGCGCATCTAAAATTACACGCCAAGTAGCAGAAACTTCTAATGTTTATGCACAAAAGTGAACAAAAATATTAAAAATATTATACGAAGACATTCTCATTACAAAATTTTTATTTCGGAATCTTATAGAAACCGCAACTAAGATTTTTTTAGTGTTTGCCTCATTCAATTTCGTCCTTGTGTTCAAAAGTTATTCAATTATTATTTAATAACTTTTTTGTTTATAAATTTTTTTTGTAAACATAATATAAACAATTTTTTGGTTTTTTTATGCTGAATTTTTTCCAAGAAGAATTAAGTGATTTGGTTAAGATAGAAAGAAGATATAACGATTTCAAAATTTTTCCAAAATTTCGACATCTCAAAAACTACTAAATATTTTGACGTAATATTTGGTGGAAATATTTCTTTTTATGAGTAGATTAAAATTCCTAAGTTTCATTGCAATTGGTTTACTTACTCCGAAAAAACTAAAATCTCTCATGGAATCGCACATATATATATACAGTGAGTCCCCGCAACCTGCACATATTTCAGAATTTTTCCTTTCCCCCGAACTCGCTACCTGACAGTCCAGTCAGCCGCTCTCCCACCATTCATTTCCCACCACTTTCAGGGATGTATACACCCTTATATCGCATACAATTGTAGGCGCCCGCACTGAGAAAACGATACTTCTAATTTGAAACATAATATGTTTAATTCACTATCTTTGTTATACAGTCAAACATATTTAAGTTTAATTCAAACATATTTTTAGTTGATAAAATATAATTCATTTAAACATAAATTTTGTTTGGTACAAAACTGTTATGTACTTAAACGTGTTTTATGTTTAATTCAAATATAATTTTTTTTTAAATGAAACAAATCATATACAAGCAAATAATATTTTTAAATAAGAGTGATAGATATTTTTCATATATATTAAAATGAAACTTACAAACTCTGTTTAATTAAACAAAATCACTCAAACTGGTCTTTATTTTTAAAATGAATATTCTTTTTTCTCAGTGCGTGTATATTTTATAAATACAGAAATGTTTAGATAAATTTATTAATTTTAATATACTTTATGTAAAATATATGTATCAAATGAGTAATTGATAAGAAAAAAGAAAAAATTCAATTTTTTAAATTAATTTGTGGCACAACAAAAATTTTTAGTCGTCAAGAGAAACTTATGTACTGAGACACTTTTCGGCACTGAGCACGCGGTAAAAGTGAAAGTGAGTATAGTCACATAGCGAGTTTGGTCTATGTCGTCAGAGCGTCAGGTTTCGGGGATGTGCAGGTTGCGAGTTGCGCAGGTAGCGGGGACTGACTGTAATATTATATTATTCATGTTTTTTCATTTATTCTAAAATTATTATATTAAACAAAAACCTTTTTTTGGAACTCCCCATTATATTCTCTTGCAGTTACCTAAGTTCTCTGCGCGACGAAGGGTCTTATACGAGCGCTCGTCGCACGAAAGACCAAGTAACTGCCAGTTACTTGGTATTTCGTGCGACGAGACTCAAATCAGCATACCGGTAACTACATTTTTAATAATTTATTTATTGTTTAAACAAATTAAAAATATATTTTTACATTATTAAAAAGAGGGCATTCATACGAATCAAAAGTAAGAAACGGCGACTTATAATTTCAATTAGGCTATGCGGGAGAGGGCAATAAAGATTCGAACAGTTTTTCTCGAAATCTTTCAAACTGCAGTTACTGTGTTTCTCGAAAACACGGCAGATTTAAAATCTAATTGTTATTGTTCTCTGCAAGAGAACAATAAGAAACTAATAGAGAGAACTTTATTAGCATAAAGAAAAACTTACGTTGTCAATGTCCTCAGGAAGACCGTCAGGCATTGGCTGCGCTCTCATGAAGAGACGATTGTGCTTGTTTGGTGATTTTGATAAGCACACTTGATCGGATCGTTCCGAAACTGTTTCTCTGTATGAGACGACGGGATCTGATTTCTTGATAGGAATGCATGCGTGATCTTCCTCAAGATCCTTGAGGCAAATTTCAAGATGAAGTTCTCCAGCACCGGCAATAATGTGCTCACCCGACTCTTCAATTATACATTGAACCATAGGATCGGATTTAGCCAAACGTTTCAAACCTAATTAAGAGAGAAGAAATCAAATTAGTAACAAATCTTTTCTCGAACACAACAATTTCCATGTTAAAAATCAATCGAAATCAGGTGTCAACGATAATCACTGTTTAATCATAACCCAGTGCTCAAAAAATGTTTTCATCATGTCGATATTTTTAAATTGTGTTAAAAATAATTTAATTTTCTGTCTGTAGCAATATTTACCTTCGACTAATTTGGGTAAATCAGCTGGATTTTTGGGCTCAACTGCAACACGAACGACAGGTGAGACGGAGAATTTCATGACTTTCATATTGTGCGCTTCCTTGTATGTCGTGATGGTTCCAGTTTTCACCAAGAATTGATCAACACCAACGAGACCGCAAATGTTACCTAAAAACGAAAGGATAGCATTTAGAAATAATATTCAAAAGTTTAAAAAATCAATTTAAAAAATCAATTGTATTCAATTATCAGGAGGATTATTAATTTATCGTTCATTCCTTTCAGGACAGGTCTGTGTAATCTCATCACTTTAAATTTACTATTAAACTATTTACATTTGTGACTCTCCCAGGCTTCACAGTGTCCCTAAATAGTATATTACGATACTAGGCCAGAAAGTTGGATTTCCTGGCCGGCGTGATATATAAGGCCGAGGCGAAGCCGAGGCTTTATATATCACGCTCGCTAGGGTATCCAAATTTCTGGCCGTGTGTCGTATACAATTTTTCTGTATCCCCAGCCGAAAGTACGTTAAATAATTATTGTTTGAATAATAAAATAGCTCAATAAGTTGCCCGCCCGACTTTTGCAAAGTCGAGGCGAAGCCGAGACTTAGCTGGTCGGGGCGGGCATGAAAAAAAAATTATAAGTAAAAAATAATTGGAAGTAAAATTTAAAAAATAGTAAACAAGAAATTTTCTTTTACAAATATATATTAAAATAATTAAAAAATAAAAAAAGAAAATAAGAAATTTCATGCATTATTTTGATGACTGTCAGTTGTTTTCAAAACGTGAGCTCTGTAAGTAACGTTTCTGTGTGGTTGCTATGCTAACATGTACGTGTGTTGAAATTCTTGTAACCAATCAGAGCGCTCGTTGGGTCTGTCGAGCCGGCCACAAAAGTCGCTATTCCCGGAGCCAAATCAGACCGGGAAGACAGTACTTTCGGCAAAGGGATACAGAAAAAGTATTTTAGGGGAAATAGGGGACTTTTAGGGGACCATAACAATTGGTTAAATAAAGATAAAAATATAATTTATTTATACAGAGTTGCCGCAAAAATTTAACTTTATTTTTCCCTGACTTTTCCTAAATTTCCAAACACAACTTTCACTTTTTCCCTGACCCTAAAGAATATTCTGATTCACTCTCAAAATTATGTATTAGATACTCAAAAAAATGTTTTATTAAATTTATTTACAAATTTCTTCAAAAGTCAAATTATTCGAAAGCATCAATAGTTTTATTTAAAATAAATATCAAATCATTTTTTTTTCATTGGAATTAAGATGTTCAAAAATTTCAAATTCAAACCTTTTCAAATTGAACAACTCATAAGAATATTATTATAAAACATAAAGATGCCCGAGTTACAAAATCATTAGTTTATTATTATAAGACTATTGTTACTGTAATTTCTTCAAAATTATTTTTATCATTTCAATTCAATTAACATTTTCTAGAATTTTTAACTAAAATTCTACTTTAAATCAATAACATCAATTATTATTCAATTAAACTTTTTCAAAAAAATTAATTCTACAGAATTGTTAGTTAAAAGTAGGTACAAAAAAACATTACAATAATTTAATTCTACGAGAAATCAAATATTTAAATACAAAAATAAATAATATTGCAATGTTTCTTAAAATTTAATTTTTACGAAGAATTGTATTAAGAATAGGGGAAATTTTCAAAATAGGGTACGTTTAGGGGCCAAAATTGAAAAAAGGGGACTTTTAGGGAAATAGGGGACAGACTGTGAAGCCTGCTCTCCGAAGAAAGGTCGGTAAGCAAAAAAGTTGTCGATTTTGGGGATAAAAATACAGAAAGAGATCAAATCTGAAAATTTACATTTTTCTCTAATTGTAAAATTGAATAATTAACAAAAACTCATTTTTACACAATTAAATTGAAACTTAAGAGAAAATGAAAACATTAATAACAGAATTTTTAGTTACCTTTCTTCGGAGCGCGTAATAATTGGAGCATAAAAACAGAAACTCACCAGATGGAACATCCTCAATGGCTTCGACATAACGACCCATCATCAAGATAGTTCTCTGAATGGCCTTCTCGTATAAATCTTCCTTCTTTCCTGGTTGGAAATTGGGTCCCATGATACGTGCCTTCATGCCAGTTGATACTTTTCCAGCGAACACACGACCGAACGCATAGAAACGACCTTTGTCGGATGTCGGTACCATTTTCGAGATGTACATCATGAGTGGTCCATTTGGATCACAATTCTAAAAGAGGAGAAAAAGAAAGAAATTACTACAAAGGTTCGAAAATTAATTCAATTTTTTCTACTCTAAATAAATCGTCAGTTGGCCGTTCTTAACTGTCTTTCATTACAATTCAGAACAGGTCTGTGAAGAACAATCATCATTTTATAAATCAATTTAACGACAGAAGTCTAAAATTGAAGGTAAAAAAGGTATAAAAAGATAAAAGAATAACATTTTTTTCATTTTGATTAAATTTAAAGACATAAGTCTGAAATTGGAGAAAAAGGTAAAAAAAAATTTGTTTATATAAAATTTTAGAATTTACCTTGATAGCAACGGCGGCCTCATCATCATGAGGACCCTCGTACAACATTTCCATTCTGTATTTTTGAGCAGTCACAGGTGATGGTAAGTGAATGGCAATCATCTGAAGAAGTGCCTCACCAGCTGGGAGCCAACTTCTCATGACAACCTACAAAAAATTCCATTTTAAAACTACTGGAAGCGAACACTATTTTAATTAGAGAATATTTGTCAATAAATTTCAGTTAACGTTCATAAAAACTCCCTCACAACGAGTCAGAAGAGGTGTCAGAAAATATTTTAGAACATTCATCATTTAGACTAAGGAAAGAAAACTCCCTGAAGTTGGCGTCGACCCTAAGCATAGAGTTATTAGAATAGAGTGCTCGAGTTATACCTTTTACCGTGAGAGGCATTCTTAGGCGCATAGAAAGAGACAAAAGCATGAAAGTAGACCCCTTTTCTTACCTTGTTTATTGGCGCATGTGCAAGAATGAAAGTTTTTGGTTAGGTTTTTGTCTAAAAAGATCGCATGAAAAATTGTTTTAAATATTATAAATGTTTTATTTTAATTTTAAATTTATTTTAAATTATTTATTTGTTTATTTGTCATGTAAATAAAAGAAAAATATAATTGCAAGCAAGCAACAGTTGTTTCGATGCATCAGCTGTTTCACTATCGCGCATGCGTTATTAGAGAAAGAAAGGAAAGGGGTCTTCTTTTCGTATGGCTGTCTCCGTCTATGCGCCTAAGAAACATTTTGGTCGCTTGCGCACTCTATTCTAATAACTCTATGACCCTAAGCGTCGAAAACGTTTTTTTTTCACAAAAACGAAAAAACTGGTCTCAAAATACTTTTACGTTAAAAAAAGGGACCGGAAAATAATTTACTACTATAGGTGAATAAAAGTGAAAATAGTGGTTTTTTCGCCTTTAAAAACTGCGAGCAATAGTTTTCGACGCTAAGCGTCGTGGCTAACTTCAGAAACTTGAAAAATATAATCTAGATTAAATTCAGATCTCAGGCCTCGGTTCGACTTTAAGGTGCAAAAAAAAGTCGCTTTAGTCGATTTAAAATAGAAAAAAAAGTCGAAAAAGTCATCACAAAAATTTTATTTTTTATTTTTCTGATCTTTCACTGATTTCTAAATTTAATTATTTAAAACTTGAATCATTTCGTTAAATAAATATTTAAATACTTCTTGTTTGTTTTCATACGGGAATAAAATTTAAAAAATTTCTATTTAAAACCTTCTGAAATTTAATAACTTCTAAAAATTGCAACTTTAATTCTCTTAACCCTCCGTCACACACCTTAGAAAAAATTACGACTTTACACACGTTTAGAGGGAATCCCTCACCACATTGTAAAATAAGCGACATTACAACATAAACAAAGGAATCAACAAAAATTTAGTTTTAACACAAACTTACAAATATGTAGTAAATTATTCTAAATTATAAAATTAATAAAATTAATTTTCGGTCTCAAAAATAAAAATTAATTACACGAATGCACATCTTCGAAGGAATTACACTTTACATGTAAATATAATGTAACATTAACAAATAAGCAAAAAAATCATTAAATAATTTATTTTAATTATATTTATAATATAATTTTGTCATTAACCAACCGTGGAACAAAAAATGTTTTGAAAACTTTGATTTTTTTATTTAACATAACCATGGGTGGCCGCAAAATTTTATTTTCAAAATTCCCTGACTTTTCCCTGACTAACAAATTTTTGAATTATTTAATATTCTACAATGAAATGTCCGTAAGAAGGTTCAAACTTATAAAAAATGTGACGGCACCATTATAATGAGCTATATTATAAAAACGTCTAAATAAAAAACTGAATTGACATTTAAGTATCAAAGTTTTTTAATTTGTGGTTTTTTTCGATCAAAATTCCCTGACTTTTAAAGAATTTTTAAAAATTCGGCCACCCTGCATAACCTCACTTTTTCGAGTTTTTTCTGGCTTTGAAGCTTCATAATTAAATATTAATTATGTTTAAACTAAATGTTTTTTTATAAATGTGTTGAGGAGTAAATTGTCGAAAGGTACACTGAGAGAAGTTAAGCACAGATGCTGAATAGAGCACAGTACCCTCATTATGTGCCGCTGCTGTACGTCAAAGTACAGATGCTGCGCTTAACTTCTCTCAGTGTATAGAAACTGATTTTATTTTGCAATGAGGAAAACAAAAGTTATTTAAAAAATACTGAAACCGTAGAGGGAATCCCACCCTAGGTGTGTGACGGAGGGTTAAAATTCAATTATTTTCTACAATTTTTCATCAAACTTCTTCTCGAAATCAATTATATTTAATAATTTTCCGAAAGTTCTTAGAGAATTTAATTATTTAAATACAACTTAGAATGTTTTCATGATCTTAATTTTTGTCAAATAAATCTGTTTATATATTGTGACCTATAGGCCACAATATAAACAGATTTATTATTTAAATACAAAAATTCAGTTCTTTATAATGATTCTGTCTCATGTTTTTTAAGTTATTAATTAATTTTCAAAAAATTATAATAAAGAAATTCTTAAAATTAATTATTCAAAAATATTTTAAAAATAATTTATGAAAGATAATAGTTTTTCAATTTATGTATATAGAATTGAAAAATTTCTAAACAATTGAAATTTGGTAAATTCTATTAAAAACATAATTGAATTTTTAAAGAATTTTAATTTTTAACATAAACGCGATTTTTCCAAAATTTTAATAAATCTAGAAAAGTCATATGTTGTTAAAATGTTAAAAATAATTGTAAAAAATTTTAATGTTATTTTTTGTATGTATTTGAATTCTTAGAAATTTGTATTTAAAAATATTGAAAATAATTGAATTTAAAAAAATTAGAATGCAAAAATTTAAAAAATTATTTTTATCAAAAATATTTTAATATAATTTTTTTGTAGCTAGTAATTTTCAAATTTGCAATTAAAATTCTTTTAAAGTTTATTTTCAAATTTTACAAAATTTCAATTATTGAAACTTTTTTTTATTGTAAATTTTGAAAATTTATGTAGTAATTTATAAAAATAGTTAAATTGTTTCGAAGAAATTATTAAAAACTTTAGGAAATAATTGCATTTTATGGAAATATTTGAAAATATTTTAATTCTTCCGAGAAATTCAATTAAATATTATGTTTTGAAAATAATTGAATTCCATCAAAGAATTTTACTATTTATAAAAATAATTGAATTCTTGCGAAGAATTTTCATAGAGATAGTATAAATAGAGTGGGGATGGTTTGCATGTATGCGTCCGCTTGATATTTATAATATCTCTATGAGAATTTTACCATTTATAAAAATAATTGAATTGTTTCGAAGGATTTATTAAGATTTTAGAAAACAATTGAATTGATTCGAAATATATTAAAAATTGTTTTAAAAATTAAATTTTTCCGAGGAATTTAATTTCAATTATTTTCAAAATTTGCAATTAATAGTCTGCAAATGTTGATTTTCATAAATTTTTAAAAAACACTTTAAAAAAAATCAATTATTTTTAATTAAATTTTACAAAATTTCAATATTTATTGAAACTCTTTTCAATTGTAAATTTCGAAAATAATTTGCATTTTATACTAAAAATTATTGCAATATTCGGAAGAAAAGTCGAAAAAGTCGTAATTTTTGAAAATAAGTCGAAAAAAGTCGCATTTTTTGAAAATAGTCGAAAATGTTATAATATCCGAGAACTGAGATCTGGATTTAATTATCTGGATAACTCACACTGAGAAAACTGGAGAGTCAAATTCAGAGGTTCAAAAAGTGTATGTTTCCTTTGCTTATGAAGAGAGTTAAATAGTCCTTCTAAAATAAATTTTGAATTGATAATGGAAATCTACTTGTATATTCTCTCACATTATATCTGAGGGTTAAAAGTTGCGCAGAAAATGTGTACGATCTGATGCGCGCGAAATTATTTTTCTGACATTTTATGTATTTCATTTAGGGGTTAGGTTGCCATTTATTCATTTCGCGCCGGATAAGGAAGGGATTTCTCAAGATGGTTAATTTGTCTCTCTGTTAGAGAAATGGCACGAATATCTGTCAATGGTGTATTTGACCATTTGTATTGTTATCCAATAGCTAACTCTCAAATATGAACGATTTGTCCCTCCAGATGTTTAGTCCAATACTCCAGTTTTCTCAGTGCAGTTATTGAGTTAATACAAAATATTAGCAGTGACAAATAATTGAAATATTGAAAAAATACCTTCAAGAGGGATTTGCCATCCTTGTCCTCATCCTCTTTCTTCAAAGTGATGCCTAATTTATCGAGTAAACTCTTGGTCTCCTCTTTCTTGTAATTCATTATACAATCGAACACCTACAAAAAAAGAACAGTTAATTAACGAGTGATTTAATAAATTACAAAGCAAACCATTAAATTTTTTTTTAAATTTGAATAACTTTTGTCGAATCTGTATCGCAGTTTTTCACTAACGAACATAAAGATAGAGGTTCAGTGGTAACTTTGAAACACAGTCTCTAAATTTTAATCTCCTTCTGTTTGCGCACTGTCAACACTGTCCAGGCAAGTTTATCAGTTTCGAAAAGCCAATAAAACTCACTTCAGAATGACGCTATTGTGCCAGAAGAAAGAAAATGGGAAAAAAATGTTTCAAGAGAATGTCAATAGTTGATCAAGAGATTTCGCACCTTATAGATTGGATCCAAAACGTACATGCAGAATGAACGTTTGTTGTCAGGCTCTTTCTGCTTCATCCATTTCTTTGTTTTCGGATTGAAAAACGACTCTCCCCAAAGTCTGTTCATTAATTTGACTACGTCGATCTTGAATTTCTCGGCATACATTTCGGAGAATTGTTTTAACGTGAAAGCCCAGCCGTGAAGACCGGATCCAAAACCTACGGATCCTTTGCTTGGATCGACCTTTAGAAAAATAAAAATTATTATGAATAGAAAGAATAAATCTTTCTACAGGAAATTGAAAAAAAAGTAAATACTTACATGAACTTCACCCATTGGACCGCTGTCATCGGAATAGGTGGCAATAATAACGTTAACATTCTCAACAATACGTTGGAAAGTTTGATAGAGTTCTTCGCTTTCAAGCTGAAGTTCAAGCAAAGCACGATCCATTTTGTTCATGAAAAGAACTGGCTTGATACGTTCAGCAATAGCTTGACGCAAGACAGTTTCCGTTTGTACACAGACACCTGAAAAATGGACAATTTCCATTAGAATTCCATAGAGGACAAAAAATAATTATTTTTCAAAATAATAGAAAATTTACCAGAAACACAATCGACGACAACGAGAGCTCCATCAGTGACACGAAGAGCCGCTGTTACTTCACTGGAGAAATCTACGTGTCCAGGTGAGTCAATAAGATTAATAAGGAAACCCTTTTCCTCTTTATCACGTTGATCCGGATTGGTAATGAAAGCCATATCCTTCTCGTCCAGTTCAAAGAACATAGAAATTGCGCTAATGAGAGAAATCAATTTTTTCAGTTATTTTGCTAACTATCGAGGGCCGAACAACTAGAGGAATCGTTGACACCCCCTTTTTTAAAAATAAATCTCCGATTCAAAGAATACTCGAGAAAACACGTTTTTCTATTTTTCAATTTTTCAGAAGACAAATTTTTTTAATCAGGGTTGCTGCAAAAATTTTATTTTCCTTTTCCCTGACTTTTGCCTGATTTCCAGACAAAATTTTCTCTTTTTCCCTGACCCTAAAGAATATTCTGATTCACTTTAAAAAATAATTAATTCTTTTTTAAATAAATATTTAATAATTAGATATTATTATTCCATAGGAATTAAGATTGTCAAAAAATTTCAAATTCAAACCTTTATGATATTCAACAATTTATAATAATTTAAATAAGCATAAAATTTTTCAAAAAAAAATTAAATTATTTACAAAAATTTTAATAATAGGTATCCCTTTGCAAGTATTTAATTATTTTTGCAAGTAATAAAATTTTTCACATGAATTTAATTATTTTCATAAATCATAAAATTTTTCATAGGATTTCAATTATTTTTAATACAATTCTAAAGAAATTCCTCGAATAATGTAATTATTTTCAAAAATTTTTTGCAAGAATTCAATTATTTTCATAAATAATAAAATTCTTTACAGGATTTCAATTATTTTTAAAAAATGTAGTAAAAATTTATTAAAAGCATTCCATTATTCTCAATTTTACGAAATTTCAATTATTTGAAAATTCTTCAATTAAATATTTAGAAAATAAAAATTTCAAATAATTTTAAAAAAAACTTGAATTAAACTTTTTTAAAAAAATGAATTCAACAGAATTGTTAGTTAAAAGTGTGAAAAATTAAAATTTTCAAAGATTTCAATTTGAAACCTATTCAAAATTCAATTATTATCTAAAATTTTAACTGAAATTCATTTTTAAATCAATTTTTATTAGAAAATTCTACGAAAATTAAATATTTTAAATACAAAAATAGATAATTTATTGAATAAATGAATGTTTCTCAAAATTGAATTCTTATAAAGAATTTTATAAACAAATTTTTAAATAATTGGATTTTTCCGACGAATTTTAATAAAATTTTCAAGAAAAAATTATATTTTTCGAGTAATTCGATTATAATTGTATTAAAAATAATTGAAATTCTATAATGAGTTCTATTATTTATTCATGAAAATAATTGAATCTCTGTAAAAAAATTTATTAATTATGAAAATAATTGAATTATTGCGAATAAATTTATACAAAAAATTTGTTAATAGCTGAATTCCTGCGAAATTCTTATTATTTATGAAAATAATTTAATGTTTGCTTAGACTTTTATCAACATTTTTTGAAAATAATTTAATTCTTTTGAAAATTTTTATTAAAATAATAGATTTTGAAAATCATTGAATTGAGGAAAATTTTTGAAATTTATTAAAAATTTTGCAAGAATTTTATTAAAATTTTTGAAAATAATTGAATTTTTGGAACGAATTTTATTATTTAATAAAGAATTTAATAATTCTTTGGAAGAAACTTGAAATTTTTTCCAGGAATTTACTAAAAATTCTACTAAAAATAATTGAATTCTTCTAAAGAAATTTTGTTAAATTTATTAAAAATAATTGAAAATTTGTAATTATTTGTAACATATCAAAAATTCAGGCTTCACAGTGCCCCTAAAAAGTATTTTAGGGGAAATAGGGGACTGAAAATTAAAAAATAGGTGACTTTTAGGGGACCATAAAAATTGCTTAAATAAAGATAAAAATATAATTTATTTATAGATAGATACTAAAAAAAAATGTTTTATTAAATTTATTTACAAATTTCTTCAAAAGTAAAATTATTCGAAAACATCAATAGTTTTATTTAAAATAAAAATGTAATAATTTTTTTTCATTGGAATTAAGATGTTCAAAAATTTCAAATTCAAACCTTTTCATATTGAACAACTCATAAGAATATTATTATAAAACATAAAGATATCGACAATAACATCAATTGAGGCCTTGGATCCAATAACTCGCCCGACGCACGGAGGAACGCGCAACTTCCAGTCAGTGAGCAGTGAGCGCCTCTGGGCCACTCACTGCTACCCGACTGCTATTAGCGCGTGCCTTCGAGCGTCGGGCGAGTTATTGGATCCAAGGCCTCAATTATTATTCAATTAAACTTTTTCAAAAAAATTAATTCTACAAAATTGTTAGTTAAAAGTAAAAAAAAACATTACAATAATTTAATTCTACGAGAAATCAATTATTTAAATATAAAAATAAATAATACTGAATGTTTCTTAAAATTTAATTTTTACGAAGAATTGTATTAACAACTTTTGAAAATATTTAATTTCTTTTAAGGAATTTAATTAAAATTTTAATGATATTTATTATATATTAAAGAATTTTATAACGATTTTTGGAATTAGTTGAAAACTTTTTGAAGAATTTTATTACATTTTTTTAAAATAATTGAATTCCTGAGAAGAATTTAAATAATAATGTTTGAAAACAATTGAATTCAATTTATCTATTTATCAAGATAATTGAATTCTTTTGCAGAATTACTTAAAAAATATTGAAAATAATTGATTTCCTGCGACGAAAAAAATAGGGGAAATTTTCAAAATAGGGTACACGTTTAGGGGCCAAAATTTAAAAAAAGGGACTTTTAGGGAAATAGTGGACCGACTGTAAAGCCTGAAAATTCAATTTTTTCCAGTACTCCAATAAAAATCCCTGACCTGTGGCAACCCTGATTAATAATTTAATAATTATTTTGACTCCGAAAATAAAAAACAAAGAAGATCCGTTTTTCTCTCTCCATTCAATTCATCTTTGAAATTTCTATTGATAAAACAAGTAAATTAAAAATTTGGAAATAGAAAAGAAGTAATAAAAATACCTACGTTGATTTGATCGTGATACAACGTTCCTGTTCATCTTTGCGAGTATCAGTGAATCGCGTCTCACCAGCCTTGGCACCAGCAATAATACCGGCTTTGGACACGAGGGAGTCAGTCAGTGTTGATTTTCCATGATCGACGTGGGCAATGACGGACATGTTCCTGATGTTCTTCTTCTTGTCCATCATCGCACGGATCTCGTCTACTGTGAAGTTCACCTAAAGAGAAAATTATGTTAAAAAGATTCCTCCGAAATCATTCAAGTTATCTATATTTTATCTACATTCCTTTTCTCGCAATCCTCTGCTCTTTTAAGTTTAATTCCAATAAATTTATAGGTTATGTCTAGAGAAAAAAAAAAAGAAAAATTTCCGACAAAATATAAATTATATTCGAAACTATCCGAATATAAAACGAAGGGGGTAAGAATAAAAACCAAAAGTCAGAATTGGGGAGAAATTTACAAATAGAATAAAATGAATCATTGTGATCAGATGATACCATATTGTGAAATAGAGTCCATAAAACAATCCATACTTCACGTAATTACGAAAAAAAAATTGATAACATTTTTCACTATGTAATATCTTCTTTCTTTTTTCACGTGTATACAGGAAAAAAGTGTACCGCATGATCATTATAATCACGATATGCAAAGCAAATGCGGAGTAATGAGAAGCAGCACCATGACACGTTTTTTCGACAAGTTCAAAAATTGACATATTTCGACTGGTAATGTCATTATGAATACGCGGTTTTTTTCGACACATTAAAATAATATTTTATGATAATCACGAGCATTGTTTTTAAAACATATAAATCATCAGGAACATGCAAAAAACTTTCGGGCACAAGCCAAGTTGCGCAATCCGAGGCAATCCAACAGTTTTCCTTTTATCAAATTCGTTGTGTTTGTCGTGAACATTAAATATATGGAAATTCACACTTTAAGCACTGCACGGATTGCGATGAGAGAAAAACTGTTTTTTTATATTACATACCATTTTGGATGTTGTCCGATTATCGTAGCCTGTTCAGAAAATAATACGTGCGCCAACAATGGCGGACTCCCTGGGAAAGAACAGGATTCTGAAGGAACAAATCCTTTGCTTCGTGTGATCTTAAGACAGAGGGCGTTGCACTCTATTTGCTTGCGTCGCGTGGACACAAAATAAAATACCATCTACGCAGCTTGTGATGCGCGCGCAACTTCCATTCACGTGAAATATACTTTTTTTTATTTCTACTTCTACATTATACCATTATCAGAAAAAAAGATGGAATATTATTCCAAGAATGCAGTTTTATGAATTTTTTATTACGGGACCGAGCAAATAGCTCCACTTCCGGTTTCATGTTCGCCTTTCAAGTGTTGTTCCCTACCTTATCGACTTCACGCGCGAAAATTGGAACACGTTTCGACAATTGAAATTTGTTGTTCAAAAAAGTTAATAATATTAGAATTCCTAAGAAGAATTTTATTACTTAGGAACCTAATTTAATTCTCGCCAAGAATTATGTTAAAATTAAATTTTATGAACAATTTCTATCAAGTTTTTAAAATAATCGTGTTTGTTCAAAAATTGAAATTAAACATTTATTAAAATTTTAGAAAATAATTTAATTTTGTCGAAAAATATTAATTAAAAATTTAAAAAAAGTTGAATTCTTTCATGAAATTTTATTAAAATTATATTAAAAATAATTGAATTTTTCCGAAGAATTTACTAAAATTTTATAAAATAATTAAATTTTTTCGAAATATACCTAATTAATAAAAATTTTTTTAAATTGAATTCTTTCGTGAAATTGTTTTGAATATAATTGAATTTTTGATAAGAATTTTACTATTTATAAATATAATTTAATTATTCGAAGGATTTATTAAAATTTTAGGCAATAATTTAATTTTTTCTCGAAAAATACAATTACAAATTTTTTAAACATTGAATTCTTTCGTGGAATTTTTTTGAAAAAAATTGAACTTTTGCAAAAAATTCTACTATTTATAAAAATAATTTAATTCTTACGAAGAATATTATTATTTATGAAAATACTTGAATTCTTGTGAATAATTTTATTTAAATTTTTGAAATTAATAAACAAACATAATTAAGCAGTAAATTAGTTAATAATTAAATTCTTTTAAAGTTTGAATCTGAAATTATTCAAAAATTTAAATTTGAAAATAAAATATTTTGTAATTTGCACAATTTTCTAGTAAAAAAGAATAAAGAAAGACAGAGACAAAAAGTTCTTTTTATTGACAATTTAATGTTAATTTAATCTCTTGTTAATAATTAATAATTAAAGAAAAACTCTAAAATATCATTTTGAGTTTTTTACAAAAAGTCAAAAGTTGCAAATGTCAATTATTACTTTTGACAATATAAAATTTTAAAGACGTTATATTTTTGCTTATATGTTTGTTATTTTTGCAATAAAAATGCCCAAAACAAATCAAATTTCAATTTAAATGACTGAAAATAATTAATAAAAACTGATTTTACTTTTACACGAACGATTTAATCAGAAACTTGTAATTCTTTTAAGGTATAAAAATAGCAGAAACATAACATTAAAACGATTTTCTATGGAGTCAAAAATCCAGAAAAACAATTTTTAACATTAATCAAATTTATTATTTATTAAAATTTTCTTCCTAATTTATATTCGAATTTCCTTACATAAGAAATTCCAACAATTGCTAATCGAATCTTATGAAAAAGTAATTTGAATTTTACTGTCTTTGTACAAAATTTATACAACACATTCGAAAAGTATTAAATTCTCGTTATTTTAATATTTGAGAAAGATAATTTATATATGATTCACTGCTTTTATGGTTTCACTGAAAACATTTTTTTTTCTTATTATTAAATACGGAAAGTGCATAACACAATTAAACCTAAACTAATATAGTTATTATGCGTAAATATTGTAAATTAATTATTTGTCAGAATACGACGAAAAATAGTAGAGCATGTAATGTTTTCCAATTTTTTGTTTTGTTTAAGTTCTAGGAAAAAAAATAAAAAATTTTATCAAGTTCCTTTACAACTTCGTTCGTGTATAGTAACTCTTTCGGGATTAAATGTCCTTTTGCATTGTTTACAGGGAACCAATTTGTCCAGATGTTGTTTCCAGCTCAAATCTGCCATTTCTGATGCGCTTGGTGCCGATTTTTGAGAAGATGTTTCACCTGCAAGTGAAATTAATTTATTTTTGTAATAAGGAAATTTTTTATTTGTATTTAATAAAAAAAAAGTAATTCAATTTGTAATTTAAAAGTAATTAAAAAAAAAATTCATTCAAATGAAAATAAGGGAATTGATTTTGATAGATAGGGAAAAAAATAAAAAAGTAATTTAAATGAAAATAAAAAAATTGATTATGGTAGAGAATAAAAAAGGTAAAAAGTAGTTTAAATGAGAAAAGTAAAAAGTAATTTCAGTAAAAATAAACGAATTAAATTTGGTAGAGAATAAAATAGTAAAAAATAATTTAAATGAAAAAAGTAAAAAGTAAGTAATTTAAATAAAAATAAAATAATTGATTGACAGAGAAGAAAAATTAGACGTATTGTTTCTTAATTTGCTTACTCGTTGAATAAAGAAATTATATTTTAAAATAATGTGTGTAAGACTTCTGTTATGAATTAATAATGAATCAACGTGTAAAAGTCTCACAATATGATGCATGTCAATCGATCGATCTTGGCCCTGGCCGCTTTTTGCAAAACTATTCCAATTTTTACAACTATGCCTCTATAATAATGAAGATGAAGTGGTGGCATTTATAAAAATAGGCATTCCCTTAAAGGCCATATCGAACAAAATTGAAAAACTTTCCTAATTTTTTCCGCAAGAAAAAATTTTCCATTTAATCTAATCTAAACCATATTTAATTTTTTATTCTTCTAATTTCTAATCCAGGCTTCGTACTCGATAATTAATTTTTAAAAAGTAGCGAAAAGTAGCTTTGAGACTCAAAAAAAAGTAGTAAAATAGTAGCTACCGACTCAATTTTTTCATAATTTCTAAATTAAATTACATTCAAAAATGAAATATTATGATTTCCAATCATTTTTTGTTGTTGATATTTTTAAACAAGATTCGTCAAAATTTTAATTACAATTTTACAACAATTACACTTTCCAAAGATTTCAATTCAAAACTAATTTGAAATTTAATTATTTCTAAAAATTAACACTTTTACGCTTCTAATACTTAATTATCATCTAAAATTTTAATTGAAATTCAATTTAAAATCAATTCTTATTAGAAAGTTCTACGATAATTCAATTATTTAAATAAAAAGTAGATAATTTATTAATTAAACATTTTTTAAATGATAAAATTGAATTCTTATAAAGAACTTTATCAAAATTTAATTAAGAAAAATTGAATTCTTTTGAAGAATTTTAAAAAAAATTTTCAGAATAATTGCATTTTTCGGAGAATTCATTTAAAATTGTATTAAAAAAATTGAAATTAAATTAAGTTAATTAAATAATTGGATTCCTGTTAGAATATTATTATTTATAAAATAATAAAAAATATTAATAATGAACAAATAATACTGAAAATAATCCAAAAAATAAAATTTGCAAAAATACAAATTCAATTGTTGAAAATAATTTAATTTTTCTAAAAAGTTTATTTTTAAAAATAAGTGAATTCTATCAATAAATTTTATTAAAATTTAAAAATAATTAAATTCCATCAAGAAATTTTATTCAAATTGTTTTGAAAATAATTGCATTTTACCGAAGAATTTTATAACTTATGAAATTGTTAAATTCTTGCGACAAATATTTTTAAATAATTGAATTCTATTAGGAAATTTTATGGAAATAGTAGGTAGATAGATATTGAAAATAATTGATTTTCGAAAATTTTTTTAAAAATTAAATTTCTACGAAGTATTCTATTAAAATTTTTTGAAAATAATTGAATTGTTATGAAGAATTTCATTAAATTTTCTAAAATGATTACATTCTTTCAAGAAACTTCATTAAAAATGTATTAAAAATAATAATTAAATTCTTTTGCACTTCTTTTGCACTTTTCGGAGAATCCATTTAAAATTGTATTAAAAATAATTGAAATTCTGTGACAATTTTTATTATTTATTGAATTTTTGCAACGAATTTTATTAAAATTTTTTTAAATAATTAAATTCTCGTCAAAAAGTTAATAAAAATCTTTTTAAATAATTAATATTTTTCGAAAAATTGAATGAAAATTGTGTTTTAAATAATTGAATTGCTGAGAAAATTTTATTATTTAGGAAAATAATTGAATTTTATGAAAATATTTTTCAGAATAATTTTTTTATTTCTCCCATTAGCGAATTTAAAGTATTTCAAATTCTCAAAAATAGCGAAAAGCAGCTTTTAGTGTGACGAATATAAAAAAAAAATTATCCAAATAGTAGCAAATCGTAAAAAAAAGTAGTAAATAGTAGGTTTTAGTAGAAAATTACGTAGCTTGCTAATCTAATTCTTCTCATCTACTTAAAATTTTTCAACTTGAATATTTTCTAGTCGAAAGAAATTTTCTCTGAAGGAAAATATTTTTCTTTTCTTTTTAATTTATACGGAACCATTTAACTGATATCAAGCAATAATCGGTCATTATTGTTGCACGAAAGTTCGTAAATGCAGTAGTCTGGAATTAAAATTTAAATTTGCAGGGTAACTTTAGGATCAATATTTACAGCACCTGTGTGCTAATGTAGATATAAAATGCAAGTTTACGTTAAGGATATAGTAAACATATTATTTATTAATATCAAGAGCAATTGTGTAAAGTTGATATTTTTTTCATCGCTTTATAAATAGACGTGAACTTGAAATAATTTTGAATTTTTCAATCGCTGATTATTATTCTCCCCCAATTGTCATTTTTTCTATCCTTATATATACAATTACAGTTTATAAATAACATGATCTTGAAAATAGAAGAGAAAAAATGAAAAAATAAAATACTCCTATTTTTTTAAATTAAAGATTATGTTTTTCATGTCGATCGGTAATTGTTGAACTTGCGTGTACTCGACTACAGAAAAACGTTAGTTAATTCCGACACGAATCAATTATTTGAGGTCATTCAACTCTTGATAATTTAAATTTATAAAAAGAATTTTTTTTCCTTTCTTTGATGTGATTATTAATAAATAAACTTACTCATTGTATTTACAGGTTTCTGTGGTTCTTTCTTTCGCTTCTGTGCAGGTAATTTGTTGTTTTCAATGTGCCATTTTTTTAGACATTGAGTTTCATGAATACTAATACTCGCTGAACCGAAATTCCTGTCACATAAGTAACACGTGAATGTTTTCTTCGAGACGGATTCCTGAAATCATTTTACGTGCGAGTAACAAAACAATGTAATAATACGAAAATAAACAAAACATTGAGAACTGTTGAGAACGAAACGAGTATGAAAATAAACAAAATAAAAAATTAAGAAACAAAAGAATACGAAAATAAAAAAATTAAGATATAAAAGAATAGAAAAAGTATAAATAAAATAGAAAATAATTAAAAAATTATTCATGCAATGATCTAAATAACAAACAATTACAAATTTATTTATCACAATTTATACAGGAGCATGCAGAAAATCTCTAAAAAAAAAATTTTTTCTTCGTTTCAACTCACAGCTGAAGATTTTCGTCGTTGAACTGTCTCTTCGGATCTTGATCCCAAGTTTTTTCGCAATGCAGAATTTCCTTTTTGATTGGAGGGTAGTTTTCCATTTTCGAATTGCCATTTTTTCAAACATTGTGGCACGTGAATTTTTATACTTCTCGTTCCAAAATTACGACCGCAAATTTCACAAACAACCGTTGGTGGGCCAGAACGAATGCGATTTAATTTTGGCTTCGTATCTGGATTCTCGTTTTCATTATTCTGTGAAAATACAATATTTTATTAAAACATTTTCCAATAATTTCTATATAGAAATCAATTCTCTCTATTTACTTCCATTAAATTATTCATATTTATTGCTAAATTATTTAAGATTTTAATTAGATTATTTATTAAAACACTTCTCAATAATTTCTATTTAGAGATTAATTCTCTCAATTATTTTCATTAAAAGTTTCCATAGTTACTGCTAAATTATTTAACTTTTTAATTAAATTTAGTAAATTATTTATATTCGTTGATAATTTTTAAAAGTTTCAAATTTATTTGTAATTTTGCAAATAAAATAATAAATATATATATTTTTAATTGTAATCATTAAATAATTAATCTAAATTATAAGGTAAAGAAGAATGCCGGAAGGTCGTTCAAAGCCGAAATAAATAAATAAACGATAATAAATAAAATAAATAATAAAAATAATAATAATTTTTAATTTATTTGGTATTTTTCATTTCAAATTGTAACAAAAATGTTTGAATTTGAAAAATAGAATGTTTAAAAAATTCTCTTTATTAGGGTAGAGTGGGGTAAAAAAGCCACATTTTTACTTTTGATGCTGTAAAATCTGTATTTAAAATTTTTTTCTCAAATTTCCAATTGTTATTGAAAGTTTAGTTATTAAGCTTGAAAATTCTTGACGGAAATATTTTTTATCTCATGAAAGGACTAAGTTATAAGAGTTTTACGAAAGCACTGTAAGTGGCTTTTTTGCACCACCTGGTGGGGTGAAAAAGCCACCCTACGATTTTAGCAAAACATGTTATCAATTTAGGTATTTTTATAGTTTCTCTTTATTTATATGACAAATAGTCTTATTTGAAAAATATTCTAATAATTATGAAAGAGTTTTTAGCAAGCAAAATTGAAAATTATATTAAGTTTACCTGTTTTCGATTTGCACTGCCAATTTTTCGTACCTTTTTTAGAAGTTCTCTTTAAGTTTTACCACAGATAACATATTTCGTTGCAACCGTTTATTCATTGTTTATTTTTTAAATGCACTTAGTTTAAATAGAAAACAAGTGAATTTCACAAAATATTCAATGGATTTTTTGCCCTGGCTTTTTTACACCCAAGACCAGTTATTAAAAAAAGCAAAAATAAATTGTTAATTCAGTTCAATTTCCAAAAATTAACATTGTATACGTTTTCGGTATACTTTTCTCCTTATGTACAAACATTTACTTTTATTATTCGTTCACTTAATCAAATTGTATAATATGTTTGAAAAGTTCACCAAAATGTTTTCAAAAAAGCAACAAAAAATTAAAATTACAATAAAAACAATATTAATCTAGGTACAACATTCAAATTAGATTCAAAAGTTGCGTATTACCTAATAGTATTTATATTCTAAACAGCTGATAAATCGGCTTAATAGTTTTTAAATAAAACTCAAATGGCTTTTTTACACCATGGCTTTTTTACCCCACTCTACCCTATGTTTTATTATTAAAACATTTTTCAATAATTTCTATTTAGAGATAACTTCTTTTAATAAATTTATTCATATTTATTACTAAATTATTTGTCTTTAAATTAAATTACTTATTTATTAAAAAGATTTTCTTTATTAAAATATTTTCGAATAAATACTAAAAAGAGATTAATTCTCGGGCATTATTCCATTAAATTTTCCATAGTTATTGCAAAATTATTTAGCTTTTTAATTTAATTTAGTAAATTTTTTATATTCGTTGATAAGTTTTCAAAAGTTTCCAATTTATTAAAAAAAATTACGAATAAAATAATAATAAATTTCAAAATTATTTTAATTATTGAATTTTCCATTTCAATTAGATACTTAATTCTAATTATTTAATTATTTTAATTTACTTGTGATTTTTTATTTGAAATCGTAAAAAATCTTTGAATTTCGAAAAGAGAATGTTCAAAGAAATTCTCTTGGTAGACAAAAAGGTAATTTACAATATTATAATTAATAAATAGAATGATAACCAATATTAAACTTTCTACCTGAAAATTCGTTTTGCAATTGATTTCATGGACATTTATCTTATCAGCGAGAAAAGTTCTTCCGCATTTTGAACATGGTATCAATAGGGTCTGTATTTTATTTAAAAAAGCAGAATTAATATTTTATACTTTGATATTATTGCACTAAAGAAGTGAAATAAAATCAAAAAAATGATGTTTTATCAAATAAAAATAGTTCATTTTAAATTAAACAGAACCAAATTTAAAAGAATTGATTACATATTTTTCTCAGTTTTATTCCATTATTATAATTGTTTCTTTAGATAAAAAATTGTCAAAATGAACGATCGCAAATTATTTTTTGAATTAAAATAAAAAACCGCTGCCAAGTTGTATATTTTTTTTATAATTTTGGTGCTCATTTCATGAACACTTTACTTCCTCATGGAGATAAAAATAATAGAAATATATGAATAACTTTTTACAAATATGGTAAAAGTGATTGAATTGTGGGTCAATCAATGTATTTTTAAATGCCCTACAAGATAGTTACAATTATTTAATAGTTAAATAAAAATTTTCAAACAAAAAAGTTGAGAAAATGTCATTTTTCACAATTTTTGGTTTTTAAAATACCAGTAATTTCGAAATTAATTATCGAATTAGGTTCAAAAATAAGTCAATAGAAGCGTTTTTTAATGCTCTACAAGTTAGTAACGATTATTTTAAAGTTACTTCTACGTTATTCAACAAAATTTTCAAAAAAGTCTTATTTTCCAAAATTATTGATTTTTAAAAGTTTAATATCTCTGGTTAATATGGACGAAACATGTTCAATTAGGGCTCAAAAGATGCGTCTAAAAAAACTCTACAAAATCATGGAAAAACATTTACAGGTGTCCTAAAATTTTTTTAAAGTTATGGGCAAAAAACGTTTTTTTGCAAAATTAAAAATAAAAGAAAATGCAGTTAAACTTTATTAATATATCAGAAAGTACTCTCACTTTATGTCCACAGGTGAGATCTACAATTTAAAAAATAATTCAACCCAAAAGCTCTTCATGATTTCGAGATATTTATATAAAAATGTTATGTTTACTTACACACACACACACACACAATGACATTTTTTAAAACTGTCATTTTTGAACTCCTGCAAGCACAGACATTTTCTGCAAGTTTGATGCAAGTTTTCTATGCAAATTTCGCAAGTTTGCATTGCAAGTTTGCAGCAAACTTGCATAAATATAAAAATGTCACCCACTTGGCAAGTTTGCACTGCAAGTTTGCAGCAAACTTGCGACAAATAGCAAAAAGTTAAATGTATGCGCAGTAGTTTACTATGACATCTAGAGCTGCGCACTATATTTTAGTCACCTTCCCTACATACAGGGAAGGCATCGTTCATCAAAATATATGCAATTTGAAAAAAATTTTTTTTAAAAATTTTTTAGGTATTTTAGAAAGTTTGCTGCAAATTTTTCTCAAGTTTTCATTGCAAACTTTCCAAGAGGGTGACATTTTTATTTGTATGTAAGTTTGCTGCAAACTTGCGAACTTTGCATGGAAAACTTGCAACAAACTTGCAGAAAAATACTGTGCTTTGTGGGTGAGGTCAAATAACATAAAGATATGTCAAAAAATCGAACTCGAAAAATTTTGGTATTACAATACTTCCTCTATGAGGAAGTAATATTTGATAAAATAAACTATTAAATTAAAAATTTTTAATGTAAAAAAAGAAATTATTTAATAAAGTACATACTTGACATTTTTCCAATACTTTCAAATTCCAATCCTGATGATCAATTGGCACGTTTGGTCTTTGAGGAACTGGTCGTCTTTGAGAAGGTGGAAGAGCTTTGTTTTCTCGATCCCACTTCTGTTGATTATTCATTTAAAAAGCGATTAGTTTGGCAATTTTGTTTCTTAACTGAAAATTTAATAAAATTTGCTCACTTCAAGACATTTGGGCTCGTGAATGGGAAAACTGGCTGTTCCATAATCCCGATTACAAATATAACAAATAAGTGTTTTCGGAGTTTTTGAAGATGTGTCGTTATCTCTAGTTTTAGTTGAATTACCAACGCCAGACTTTGTCGATATTGGACTCGGTGTTTTACTCTTTACACTTTTCGTTTTTTTTGTCTCCACTTGACCCTTCATTTTATCCTTACTCTTATCACTACGAAAATTCAGTGCAACTGGTTTTTGAATACTTTTCTTTACAGTCGAAATACTATTAAAATTGCTATTTCCCAATTTATTTTTGAGAATTGGAACTTTCGGATGACTGTGCAATCGTTCAGGTTGATTGGTATGTCCACAAGTTGTACAAGGCTCTGGTGTTCCCTTAATGAATCCGGTGAATAGTTCGACATCCGAGGAAATATTTTCATCCACTGATTTTCGTGAGGGTTGCGATAGATTTGTTATTCTCGAGGAAATTCCACTTCCGTTATTATTGTTGTCCAATTTGCGATCAGATCTTCCGTCACTGATGAAGGAAAAAGAAATCAAAATTATTAATTTCAATTAATTTGAAAATAAATTTAGAACATAAAAAATTTGTACCCCGATTTGTAGTTATGATGAAGATGCATAGAAGAAAGTTCGAGGGGCGATAAATCGACTCGAAAAAAATTTTCAGTCGAGGATCGTGAAATTGGACGTTTCTTCCGCGTAGTGCACTTAGTGAAGCTTGTCCGGGTGTGTCGAGGCAGTTCCGTATCGATGGATGCTCGCTGTCTTCGCCTCGATGAGGACGAGGTCGAGGACACACCCCCACCTAATTGACCCCCTATTCGAATCCGACTCAACGAATCCTTGCTCAATAATGACATGTCCAATTTATCCATTAAATCGGGATTTAAAATACTCGGTTTCTCCAGATTCGCCGTCTTTGGCCTCTCAATCACATTTTGTTTTACTGCAATTTTCTTCACTTTCGGTGGCCACGTTGTTGTGTTATCTGAAAGAAATCCAATTTTTTTTTATTGTTCTTGTCAAAATTAGAAAAATTAGAAATAATTAAAAATGTAAACCAAGGGCCAAAAGGATGAAGTTACAATAAACATGTAATAAATAATAAAAATAATTAATAATAATTAAATTAATTAGTCAAAAATATTAAACTATTTCAGGGTTGCCACAAATATTTAATTTTATTTCTCTCTGACTTTTCCCTGATTTCCAGACAATATTTTCACTTTTTCCCTGACCATAAAGAATATTCTGATTCGCTCTAAAAATTATTTTATACTCAAAAAAACATTCTATTACATTTACTTACGAATTTCTTGAATTGTAAAATTATTCGCACACATCAATAACTAAATTTTTAAATAAGTACCTATTTAATTATTATTGTTCCATAGGAATTAAAATTCTTCAAAACATTTTTAAAATTAAACAACTTATAAGAATATTATTATAAAACATGATGATATCAATTACTCCAAGTCTTCGACTCGGAGTGATTGATATCTTCATGTATTATAAAAATTTTAATTTCCATAAAATTTTTCAAAAAAAAATTAAATTATTTATAAAAATTATAATAAAATTCGTTACAAGAATTCAATTATTTTTATAAATAATAAAATTCTTCACATGGTTTCAATTATTTTTAATACAATTTTAAATAAATTTCTCGAAAAATAAAATTATCTTTAAAAATTTTTTGCAAGAATTAAATTAGGTACATTTCACAAATAATGAAATTCTTCGCTGAAATTCAAAAATTTTCAAAATTTACATTTTTAATACTAGTTTTCAAAAGAATATAATTATTTAAATTAAATTCGTTGCATAAATTCAATTATTTTTACAAGTAATAAAATTTTTCACATGAATTCAATTATTTTAAAAAAATTGATAAAATTCGTTGTAAGAATTCCATTATTTTCATAAATTATAAAATTTTTCTGAGGATTTCAATTATTTATAATACAATTTTAAATAAATTTCTCGGAAAATAAAATTAGGGGTCGTTCGTAAACTACGTCACACTCGTGGGGGGGGGGGTGTCAAGCTGTGTGTGACGAAGTGTGCAAAAAAATTTTTTTTGTATGTAAAAAATGTGACGAAGGGGAGGGGAGGGGGTAAAAATCAATCCGAAAAAGCGTGACGTAGTTTGTGAACGACCCCTTATCTTCAAAAATTTTGTTAAAATTCTTCGAAAGAATTCAATTATGTATTTTATCAATTATGTATTTTTAAAAATTCATGCTATAATGCTTTTAATATTCAATTATTATCTAAAATTTTAACTAAATATTCATTTTTAAATCAATTTTTATTGGAAAATTTAACAAGAATTCAATTATTTAAATACAAAAATAAATAATTTATTTTATTATTCATGAGAATAATTGATTTTTTGTAAAAAATGTTATTATTTATGAAAATAATTGAATTATTGCGAAGTTTGCTTAGAATTTTATCAAAATTTTTTTTTGAAATAATTGAATTCTTTTTAAAAATTTTATTAAAACTGTAGATATTGAAAATCATTGAATTGAGAAAAATTTTTTGAAAATAATTGAAATTTTGCAAAGAATTTTATTAAAATTTTTGAAAATAATTTAAATTTGGAGAAGAATTTTATTATTTTTAAAGATAATTGAATTTTTATGAGAATTTCTTTTAACTTTTGAACATAATTGAATTTTTGCGAAGAATTTTATTATTTTTGAAAATAATTGAATTTCTGCAATCATTTGTAACTTCTCCAAAATTCAATTTTTTCCAGCTACTTAAATAAAAATCCCCGACTTTTCCCTGAATTCCCTGATTTCCCTGACCTGTGGCAACCCTGTATTGATCAATCGTCTGAAAAGGGATTTTTATTATCGAGTTGAAGAAAATTTTCCATAAGAAAGTTGATAGATCACTCTTGTTTTATCGATTTCGACGAGAACTATAAAATAACGAATAATTCAATGAAAGTGCATTTCTGTTTGCATTGACCCCGGAAATATGGAGCAAACTACCTATAGTTACCCTACCTTCTTATTAAATACACTTCAAAACATTTCAACTTACGAAGAAATAAAATTCATTACATTAAAAAAAAAACTAGAAACAAAATAAGCTAACAAATAATTATAATTTAACTAATTTATTAAAATTAATAAATTGAGAATTCATTAAAAAAACGAAAAACAAAATAACCAAATAAGGAATAATTATAAATTTATTTATTTATTGAAATGGATAAATTAAATTATAGAAGTAAATAAAATGATAAGGCAGTCTGCCTAAATTGAAATGAAATAAAAATTGTCCTAATGACACAATAATTGTTACCTTTAAAAAGATCCAAATCTTTGTTAAGCACGAGAAAAGTCTTTTCCGAAAGAAAATCGGAAGATGGCTTTTGCCACTTCATCGTTTTTACCACCCACCCCGACATTCATTTGTAGAATTTTTTACAAAATCGATTAAAATTTAACTAGAGTAGAGAAAAGTAAAGAAAATTATTCTTTACTTTATTTAGAACTTATTTTCATCTCCACTATATTATACGTGAATAATGTACAATTTGTCTTCAATTTCTCACGATATTCAAATTCAAGTGATAAATTTCAAATTTTCCATTCTTAATTATTTAACATTTCTTAAAAACTCAAAATTTTAAATTTTAAACAATAAAATTAAATTAAAAGAAAGTGTCAAAAATAAATCCACTAGTAATTTGAATAATAATAATTTTAGAAATGTCAGATATAAACAAATCGATCGCTAAAAAGTGAATATTCAATTGTTTATTTACGTAGAAAAATAAATTTTATAAAAACTCATTTTACATTTAAAAGATAATAAAAAAAATCCTTCGGAAAAGTTCCTGTTTTCCTTGAACTTGAAAAAAAAACTTTTCGAGAATTTTCAGAAGAAAGTTTTAATATATTTAAAAAAGAAGTTTACTCAAATAACTTTTCGTAATGGAAAACAAGACCCGGACATGCGCAAAATATTAAAGGAAAACAAAACTTTGTAAATTTAAAATTAATGAAACGCACACAAGTTTTAAAAATAAACTAACAATGTAGTAGAATTCAATTTTCTCATGTCTAAGTACTTTGAGGCGTTAAAAAAGGAATTTTTCATTCAAGAAAATATTTTGAGAAATTATGCGAAAAAAAACAATGCGCGCCCTTTTTCACTCTGAACAATAACCCGGTGAACTGAGCTTGAATTTACCTTGCCATTGGGTTGATATGGCTATTGTGGACTTCAGCTTTCACCCTCCTGCGATTCGTTGTATATGTGTGTACACAAGAAAATATACAGGTGAGGAAAGAGAATCGATCCAACGACCACATTAACAAAAATTTTTCGCGGTTTACGCTGCCAACTCACGCAAACTTCAAATGCGTTATATCCACTCACTGTATGGTCAATTATAATTTTATCATGATTAGAGATGCGAAATGATAGCGGAATCATTAATGTTTTTTTTCCTCCTCTTTTTTTCTGGAAATGAATCAACACAAAATTAAACGATCCATTTGTAAATTTTTCCTATAGGGATCTAAATTCCACTTATCAATCAGAAAACTGTTACACCTGTAATAAAAAATCGGAAAAAATAGAATCAATTAAACTTCATTTAAAATTAATTTATGTAAAAATATTTAATTTAACAGAAACTGACAGAGATCTTAGTTTACTTTATAAAGTTAATTTTTACTTTGTAAATAAAAGTCACCTAATTTAAAAATAGTCAACTAAATTTAAAGATAGTAGAAAAGAAAGAAATGTTCCTTGACAAATTCTCCAATACTGCCTTCTCTACATTCTCCCAATTGGGACTTTGCAACTTCTACAAATCGTCTGACCCTCATTTAAAGATAGTAAAATAAATTTTAAAACAGTAAAAAAAAGATAGTTAAAGTTAAAAAATATAAATATACAAATACAAATATTTGTAAAATATATTTTATGTAAAAAAAATATACTTACAAAATTATCTTTTTCCCTTTTGAAAAATTCGACTCTTTTCTAAAGTGGATTAAAATTCCTGATTCATAAGCTTATTAGTATAAAGAGAAAGCTAATTGATAAAGATTTTGCAAAATACTTCCAAGAATATGCGGGCACATGACGCAAATAAAATTGTGACTATTATGATTTACGTAAATTTGCATAAAAAGTTTGATTATAATTATCGTAATTAAATACTCATGAAATTAATTATCAAACAAAATTATCTATAATTGGAAAACGTACATAAAATAATTGACTCATAACGAATCTAAAGTTTGCAGCGATTAAGAAGCATTTTGTTTTTATTTAAACATTAATTAAAATTTTGATCATTTAAACTATTTTATTGGAATAATAATAATTATTATTATTATTATTTTTAATTGATTTATGTTTTTCTTAATTTTTATGTCTTTTTTAATTTTTAATTCCTAATTTTTAATTTATGTATTTATGTTTAATTAAATTTTTATGCTAATGAATTTTCACTTATTAATCTTTTTATTTAATTAAATTTTCAATTATCAGAAATTTTTAATTCTTAAATCTTTTTAATTTTCATTCGAGTGGATTTTTATTTTGTACTATTTCTATTTAGACAAATTTTTATTGAGTTGAATGTAATGGAATTCTTAATTAATCGAACTTCTATATTCAACAGAAACTCTCTTTATACGAAATTTTCTAAAGAATTTTATCAAAATTTTGAAAATAATTGAATTGTTTCGACGAATTTGATATGAAAAAATTTTAAAACAATAAAATTCTTTCGAGGAAATTTATTTTAATTGAATTGTAAATAATTGAATTCTTTCGAGGAATTTCATTGAAATTGTAATTAAATTCTTGTGACGAACATTATTATTTATGAAAATTTAATTTTTGCGAAGAATTTTATTAAATTGAGTGAAAATAATTCATTTCTTAGTAAAAAACTTTATAAATTCTTTCAAGGAATTTAATTAAAATTTTACTGAAATAATTGATTTATTCGAAAGGATTTTAACAGAATTTTTTAAAATATAATTAAATTTTGAATTTTATCAAAATTTATTAAAAATAATTGAAATTCTACGAAGTATTTTATTATTTATTTATAAAAAGAATTGAATGTTTAAAAAATTTCTTTAACAATTATTTATAATAATTATGCAAAATACCGAGATGTCCCCCCTGCATGGTTCCTTCCTCTATTATTCCAAAAAAATTCCAACCGAAAATATTCTTTTCTTTTTGAATTAAGTGTATTCTACGAAACCACTATTTTTCCCCGGACGACCTTAAGTGAATTTTCTAAAATATTGCAACTGGAAATCATTCAAAAATTGAAGTTGATATAATTTGAAAATAATAAAATTTGAAATTTGCATAAGAATAATAAATAAAACACCGCGTTTCGCGCGTATTTGCTAGTTATCAATATTATTATTTGAAATATTACTTTCTTTGCGCTTCTTAAACATTCCAAACTTTAACTTCACTTCCTTCATTTTAGCGAAAAAATTTATTTAGAAAACTTCTAAATAGAAATTAAATTAAATTAAACCTAAATTTGAATGTATGTACAATATACATATTGAAATAGTTCCTATCGCCGATAGCGATATCTTTTAAAATGGAACCAGAGTTGAAAAATGTTATTGTGAAATTGACACCTGAATCCACGTTTATAGGAGTATTCCCATTCTCTGTTGACAATTTTGAAAGCAATGTCCTCGTACGGTGGTCCAGCGTGAAATCGAAGATTGGCAAAATCCTTATTATCCGAGCACGGAGTCTGAAAATTTTTGTTTAAATAATTTATTTCTACTCTTTTTAATTCTAAAAACAATAATTTTATTTAGTTAATCCAAACAACCTAAACATCAAAATATAATTTGAAAAGTTAACAAATAAATTATATAAAAGTAATACATATATATTTTACCAAAAATCTGAACTCACCAAAAAGTATTCCGGCGTGGTGCTTTTATCGATTAAATCCGGATAAAAAATATTAAATTTATAACCCTGGACAATTTTCGGTGGTGGATTATCCATATCGTAATGGGTTTGATTGTATTTATTCCATTCAAAACCAGTATGAACTCTATTGAAGTAACGTGGTTTTCTCGGTCGATATTTATCGGACCAAAGATAAACTTGTGCCTCCAATGATGATTCAACGCTAAATTGTGCCTCATCGTCGCCCATATTTTTTCTCGCCTCCTTCAGCATTGCCTGCTCCTCGGCTGTCATAACATTTTGCACTTTACGACCCGTATTTAGAACCATATTTCTTGCATACTCCAATCGTTGATTATCATCCTCCTCGAGTGTGACAATTGTTCCTGGTTCTAGTTGCGATTGTGCTATATATTTCGGTGAATATCCACCCGATTCGTATTCGCTGAATGATTCCGTTATCATATCATCCCCAACATTCGCATTTTCGGACTCTTGCTCTTTACTGGAAAATTTAAATATTAAAATATAGTTGCTATATTAATAAATATTATACATTATTATAAATTGTAAATTAAATTTTTCTTCTGCAAAATTGTTTTAATTCCTTCGGAAGGAATTTTTGTTAGTGAATGTATTTATTTCTTACTCTGATTGACTGTCGTCATTTTTCTCCGTATGAGCTGAACTTGATGAAGGTTCATCTTTTACAGAAACTTCGCTGGACTCTTGTGAAACTTCAGCTTCACCTTCGGTTTTCGTTACTCCCTGCTCGGCTATCAAGACCTCTAGTTTCTTTCGCAAATTTTCCTGATGTCTGTCTCGTAAACGGGCTCTAGCCATATGAGCTAAAAATACATGCCAAGAAAGTAAAGTAGTAAGTAAAAAAAGGAAATAAAATGTAAGTAAAAAATATAAAATTGAAATAAAAAGAAGAAATACCTTTCAATTGAGAGAGTAAGCTTTCCCAATAGCCAATGTCTACTCCTTCGGGTTTGCCACTAATTTTTGTTTCGATTTGCAATTTTAAAGCATCAAGTTGAGATGCTGTTTTTCCCTTGAAAATAGCAGTTACATCCTTTGCAACCGACTCGTGAATTCCTTCTCTTCGGCCAACAGCTAAACAATTACATAAATTCAAAACAATTATTTTTTGAATTTATTTTCAAAAGCAGACTTCGTACTCAATAATTAATTTTTAAAAAAGAGCAAAAAGTAGCTTTAAGACTGAAAAAAGTAGTAAAAAAGTAGATATCGAAAAACTAAATTTGATGACTCAATTTTTTCATACTTTCTAAATTAAATTACATACAAAAATAGAATAATTTTTTTTTAGAAAAATATTTAAATAGCTATTTAGTTTTCCACAAGAATTGAAATATTTTAAATGATTTTAATATAAAGCCTTTTTCAAATTTAACTATTATTTCTAAAAATTACAACTGTAATTCTTCCAAATTCAATCATTTCTTGTTGTAGAAATTTTTAAATAAGATTCTTCAAAACATTAATCATCTTTCTTTCAAAATAAAAATTTAAATATTATTACAGCTTAACAACAATTAAAATTTTCAATGACTTCAATTTAAAAAACCGCTGCCAAGTTGTACATTTTTATAATTTTGGTGTTCATTTCATGAACACTTTGCTTCCTCATAGAAATAATAATAATTAAAATATAAGAATTACTTTTTATAAAAGGGTTAAAAATCATTAAATCTTGGTCTAAAAAATGTGTTTTTATATATTCTATAAGATGGTAATAATAGTTTAATAATTACACATAAATTAATAAACAAGAATGTTGAAAAAATGATATTTTCATGATCCACAAGTTTTGAACGTTCAAATGAACGAAAAACGAAATTAAAAACTTAAATTTTACACTTAGAAACTTTATAATGAATTTATTTTATATCGACACAAAATTATTGTAATAAATATTTAAATTAAAGAAGAAAATAAATAAATTTCGTTCATTTGAACGTTCAGAACTTTAGGATCATATATTTTCCACAATTTTTGATTTTTCAAATACCAATAATTTCATAATTTCTGCCCGAATCAGGTTCAAAAATAGGTCAATCGAAGCGTTTTTTAATGCTCTTCAAGTTGGTAATAATTTTTTGAAGTTACTTTTACATAATTTAAAAAAATTTTTATAAAAGTCTTATTTTTCAAAATTTTAGATTTTTAAAAGTTTAATATCTCCGGTTAATATGGACGAAAAATGTTCAATTGGGGCTCAAAAGATGCGTCTGAAAAAACTCTACATAATTAAATACAAAACAGAACTAAACTTCTGCTTTTTTTAACAAAATTTTTAAAAAAGTCTTATTTTCAAAAATTTTTGATTTTTAAAAGTTTAATATCTCCGGTTAATATGGACGAAAAATGTTCAATTAGGGCTCAAAAGATGCGTGTGAAAAAACTCTACAAAACTAAAGAAAAAGATTTATAAGTGTCCTAACATTTTTTTAAGTTATGTCCAAAAAACGTTTTTTTACTAAATGAAAAATGCAAAAAAAAATAGTTAAACTTCATGAATCGGGCTAAAAATACTCTCATTTTATGTCCCCCGGGGAGACCTACAATTTTAAAAAAATTGAGGCCTTTAGCTCTTTCTCGTTCTGAGATATTGAGGCAAATGTAATGTTAGTACACACACACACATCGGGACAAATTTTTAAAATCCGTTTTTTGGACTTCGGAGGTCAAAATACGTCGAAATTTTTTTTTATTTATTTAGAACATTTATACGGGGAGTTCCTGTGCATATATAAAGTACTAAAGTACTAGGCATAATAAAAAAAATTTATAAATATGTCAAAAAATGACAATCCAAAAGTTTGCTAATACAAAGCTTCCTTTATGAGGAAGCAATATTTTGAAAATTGATTATTTCTAAAAATTCACACTATAACGCTTTTAATATTCAATTAGGTATTATCTAAAATTTTAAATGAACTTCAATTTTAAATCAATTTCACAAGCCTACAAGTTTTAGACCCACAAAACAGATCAGTCATTTCTAATACAATTTTTTATGCTGAATTCGAAAATGACCTTAAAATCCTTCCGCCGCGTCAGGATTTTGAGATATTCTAACCGAAATGTGTGAAGAAGGCTGTTTTTGTCAATATTTGAATGTCTATAAAATCAACAAAATACTATTTTGAGTTTTTGTTCGAATTTTAAAATAAAGTGCTATATTTTACCTTTCGAATCCATTTTGCTTTATATCGAACCGATTTTTTTTCGCTGAGTTATAGTAGTTCCAATTTTACCATACATGGCCTCAAAAGCTTATAGGGAAAAAAAATAAAATTGTAAAGTATCTGAGCTGTAACTAATTACTCAAATGTTCTTGTATATGACGGATAAAATATGACGAAAAAAAATTAAGAAGTCGTGTTATTCTTACGATTTAAGCTTAACTTTTTAAAATTTATTCTGACATATTGAATTTTTAAAAACTGATATCAGATTGGAAATTAGCAGATACTTTACAATTTTATTTTTGTTCTCATGGTTCTCATTAGATCTTTAGGCTATGTATGGTAAAATTCAAATTAATATAACTTAGCGAAAGAAAATCGGATCGATATAAAGGGAAATGAATTCGAAAGGTGAAATATAGCACTTTATTGTTTGTTTCGAAGAAAATATAAGTTCGTACGAGGAATTTAATTAAAATTGCACTAAGAATAATTGAATTTTTCTAAAAACGAAACTTTTCGTTTTTAATAAAAAAGAAAATGAAAAAAAAGATAATTTAAAATGGGAAGGTGAAACTTTAGAAGAAGTCGATAATTTCCAATATTTAGGGTTTGTATTTAATAAAAAAGCGGATTATAAGGATCATATCAGAGAACTGAAATTTAAAGGTTTAATAGCGGCGAGACATACTTGGGGTCTAGGAGAAAGAAGTTGTAAGGGGGATTTCTTGAGAAGATGGAAATTGGTTAAATTGTTAATACAGAGTGTTATAGAATATGGGGTTGAAATTTGGAGGTGGGAGGCTAAGAAAGAGTTAGAGAAGATATCCTTGGACTATATCAGATGGATGCTAAAGTTAGATTTCTATAATACTCCCCACGATATTTAATTACTAGAGAAACTGCGTTAGAACAATTAAAGATAAATTGGGGACTAAGAGCTTTGAAATTTGAACAAAGAATGAGAAATATGAGCAACAATAGTTTAGTCAAAAAATGTTGGGACGCTTTAAAAGAAAAAGGTTGGGATACACTGTACGGGATTGAGAGGAGGAAATATTATAATAGAAATGGTTTGGGATTGGAAGAAGTAGAGACTAATGTATCAAAATTGTGATATTAGCGATAGGATTTGAAAAACCGAACGTGATGTGCAAAGACAAATAGAAGAGAGTAGAATTGATGCTTCAAAATTTAAACATAGGTATAAAGGGTATAAAGTTATTAAAGAAAACACAGAAAGGCCAAAGTATTTAGTTGATATTAAAAGTGGAGAAGGTTTGAGTTTGATTGCTAAATTAAAATGTGGGAATTTTGAAGAATTTAGAAAACATTAGTTGGATGACGACAAAAGAAAGTGTAAATTTTGTCAAAAAGGATGGGACAGTTTAGAGCACTGTGTGCAAATTTACGATGTAACAAAAGGTTGGTTTGAGGAGTCAGGAGATAGTGATGAGAAAAGACTGTAACGATTAACAGATTGTAAAAATGATAATATAAAAGTTAGGATAGCAAAAAAGTTATGGAAGGAAAAAGAGAAAATTATAAATAGGTTATAAAATGAATAGTGATAAGAGTATGTGTGTAAAATGATATAGAAATGTATACCAAGTCCACTTCCGGGCCAAAAGGCTGAAGTTATAATAAATAATAATAATTGAATTTTTCTAAAGGGTTTATCCCAATTTTTAAAAATAAGTGAATTTTATAAACAAATTTTTTTAAACTTTTTAAAAATAATTTTTAAATTCCATGAAGAAATTTTATTCAATTTGTATTGAAAATAATTGATTTTTTCCAAAGTATTTTATAACTTATGAAGATTCTTATGGGGAATTTTCCTTTCTTAAAAAAGACATGGAGTGGAAAGGTCGAATGTATCGAAAAGTATCGAAGTAAAGAATGGGCAATGAGAATGTAAAATCTTAATAGAAGGGTGTTTTCAAAATTGTTTGTTATTTAAAAAGAGCGCGAATATATAAATTTTATTTTTGTTAAGAGAATGTACACATAACAAATCTTATTTTGCATTGTCAAAAAACGTCAATATTTCAAATATAAATAAGCAAATTATTAACTGAAAAAATTTGAATATTATTATTAATGAAATAATGGACTTGGACAATGGACATATAAAAACTAGCACCGTAGACGGCCGCTTGCGGCCGTCGGAGGAGCTAGTATTATTAAAATAGTAGATTTTGAAAATAATTAAATTTAGACATATTTTTGAAATTAATAAAATTTATACGAAGAATTTTATTAAAATTTTTTAGAAATAATTGAATTGTTACCTATGAAGAATTTCATTAAATTTTTTGAAAATAATTAAATTTCTTCAAACTTAATTAAAAATGCATTGAAATTAATTATTAAATTTTAATAAACAAATTATATCAAAACTTTTTAATAATAATTGAATTCCTTTGAAAAATTGTAATAAAATTTTAAAGAATAATTGCATTTTTCGAGGAATTTATCAGTTTTGAAAATAATTGAATTCCTGTATAATCAGTTGTTCTTAAAATTTCTATTTAAATTCAAACAAAAAAAGACAAAAATTCAGAATTTTCTTATATGTAAATTCTAAAAATTCAATTTTTTCCACTACATACTTTTAATAGAAATCCCTGACTTCCCTGACCAATTCTAATTTCCCTGACTTTTCCCTGAATTCCCTGACTTGTGGCAACCCTGTTTTTTTTAATAATTGAATTCTTTTGGGAAATTTTTTATTAAAATAGTAAATATTGATATTAATTGAATTTCGAAAAATTTATGAAAATAATTGAATGGTTTGAAAGAAGTAAATTTAAAAAATGTCATTTAGTGTCACAAATCTGAAAAAAGTATCCAAATAAGTAGCAAATTGTAAAAGAATGTAGTAAACAGTAGGTTTTTGTAGATGAGTACGAAGCCTGCAAAAAAGAAGTTTTCTTCTCTTTATTTATTACCAGAAAAGAGATGAAAAAATTGACTGCAAAAATTAAAAAAGTAAAATGAACTGTATAAGAAAAGAAAATATTTACCAAGTTCGTATTCTGAGCCTTCCAATTTTCTCAATTTTATAAGTTCATCATCGACAATCACAGTAATATCATTCCAGTAATCTAAATTTTTTCCCCTCTCGAGTTCCTTATAGACTTTAATATCCTCAATGAGATCCTCCAAATCCTTGACATTTAAACCACGTAGATAAGTGTAAGGCTCGTGCATTTCAACAGCATCGACTTCTTCCTCGGCACTAATATATTTAGCCAAGAGATCAATTGGCTTTGCTCGACCGTCTTGAATACGTATCCGCGATCTTAATCTCGCCTGTTCCAAATGAAATTGATCCTCCTGCCGTGCCCATTGTTCAAGTTGTGCCGCCTCTTTTCCACGCTGCAACAATGCCATTTCCGCCTCTCTCTGTTGTCTCTCCAATTCACGTTCCATTCGCCTTTTCTTCACTTTCTCCAATTCCCTCTTGTTCTCCTCTTGTTTATGTCTATTTCTTATTTCCAATTGTTCACGACTAACGCCCAATAAACCTTCCTTCTCCAATTTCTTATTCCACACGAATGTTGTCAATAAATTTCCATCTCCAAATGGATTATCAGTATTTGTATAATGTAAATAATCATTGTCCCAGCCCATTCTTTCTTTTCGTTTTCGTTCCTTCGCCTCCTTCTTTTTTAATCGACGCAATCTTTTCTCCTCGGGAGTTTCTGTGGCTTTCATTATTTCCTTCTGTCGTTTGCGTTCCTCGACCATTACTTGTCGTTGCTTTTGTAATTTTTCCAAAAGTTTCGTTGAATTTGAAGACGAGCCGGATGACGATGAATCTGAAGAATCAGTCGAAGAGGAAGATGGAGATCTGTAAGAAATAAGAAAAAATTCTTATAATTTTTAAACAAAAAATTTTAGGCTTCGCACTCGATAATAATGGAATTCTTATGTTATAAAGAATTTTATGAAAATTTCTTAAAATAATTGAATTCTTTCGAAAAATTTTAATATCTTTAAAATATCATTAAAATTTTTTTAAATATGTAATTGAATTTCAACGAAGAGTTGCATTAAAATTTTCAAATAGTAATTGAATTCCCGAGAAGAATCGTATAAAAATATTCTATTAAATATAATTGATTTTTTTCGAAAAAATTCAATGAAAATTGTATTTTAAATAATAGAATTCCTGTAAACATTTTATTATTTATGAAAATAATTGAATGTTTACAAAGAATTTTATTAAAATTCTTTTAAATAATTGAATTCTTTAGGGAAATTTTATTAAAATAATAGATATTGAAAATAATTGAATTCTTACGATAAATTTTTCAAAATAATTGAATCGTCTCAAAGAATTTAAAAAATTTTTTGAGAATAATTTTTTATTTCAATTATTACCTGATTATTTTAAAGCAGTGTAAATTCTAAAAAAAAGGAAAAACTAGCTTTTAATGTCACAAATCTATAAAAAAGTATCCGAATAGTAGCAAATCGTAAAAAAGTAGTAAATAGTTGGTTTTAATAGATGAGTGTGAAGTCTGAATTTTAAGATTATTTATTTTTGGAATAATTTTTTTAGGATTATTCAACACACTTGACAAATGATCATAATTACTTTAATTTATTTTAATATTAAACTGACCTTTTACTTTTATGTCTGGAAGACTTATCACGACTTCTAGACCTTTCCTTTTGTTTGTTTTTCTTCTTTTTATTATTCGATTTTTCCGATTTGTGTGTAGAACTGGAATGTTTATCTCGTTTTGAATCGTAATCATCATAATCTCTTTTGTGTTTATATTTATCACGACTTTCCCGTCTGTCTTTCGATCGAGAGCATTCGTAATCACTTTTCTGCCTGTGCCTTTCCATTATATAAATATAATTCAATTCACTATTTTTGTTATTATTAATATTTAATATTTTATTTTATATATAATATAATCCAAAAAAGTCGTTTCTTGAACGATTGTCGACATTCGACGGATTCGACAAACTTAACCTAGAAAACAATATTTAGTATTTACGTATACGGCGGCCATAATGAATTTATTCACAGCTGACTTCCGGTCATGCTCACTACCCACCTAATACTCTAATTTTACCATGAAAATTATTTCTCAAACTCTTAAAAATCTTATGAAAACCATAAAATTATTCTACTAGAAATTAAAACAAATTTTTTTTGCCACAAACGTACTTTTAGATAATAATTTATTTTATTTTTTGACTTTTAATCTCTTCAATTGATTAGAGAGGTTCCCCCACTAAACTTTTCATTTGTGTATCCCAAGAATACTATCCGTTAAATTTTGAATACATTTAAATTATATATATAGAACACGCCGTTAAACAAGCTTTTGAGAATTCACTTGAACAATAATTGAATTTGTGCTTATTTTCATCGTATTTTGTATTAATACTGTGCATTATAAAGTGAATAATAATGGCTGATAACATTTACTACTCGAATAAATATTACGACGATACTTATGAGTACAGGTTTGTGAAAATTATATATGTATATACTCTCACATCATCCCCTTTTTCTGCATACGACTCTTTTGTTTGAAATGCAAATAAAACAAGTCATCATTTCAAGTATTTTTATAACTGTGACACAATTTTAAGGAAATTTCTCTCGTTGTTGTCTGTATTTTCTATTTTTCCATGTAGATATATACCGAATGTTTTCAAATTTTATTGTAAACAATTTGACACATTTCCTTATACATAACCTCAAAATGCATCGAGTTTTTCAAAACTGACATTTTTATGATTTTTGTTTTTTATGTATATTTTCCAAAAGATATCAAGTTATTACTAATTATAAATATACTTTCTTTTATAAATAATATAATAATTATGAGAATGGTTGATTTTGTTAATTAAAATCTCTTAATTTGAAACGTGTTTGTAAAGTAAGTAAGTTGGTAAAGTTTCTATCGTTTCTGTATTTAAATATTTTAAATAATAAAAAGAGTTTTTAGTACAATTTGTTCGGTTTAAAATTATTTATTTAATCCAAAACGTTAATTTAATTAAATTGTATTAAAAATTCCAATTTACTGATTTTTATTTGTTTATATTAGACTTGGATTTAATTTGTAATCTTTTGTTATTTGTACCTTGCATTGTACTTGAGAAAAATGTTAAAATTTCTATTTACGTTAAAAAATATTTTCAGGCATGTGGCGTTACCAAAAGAATTAGTGAAACTGGTGCCAAGGGGTCACTTATTAAGTGAAAAAGAATGGAGAAACATTGGGGTACAACAAAGTCAGGGTTGGGTACATTATATGACTCACGATCCAGGTAATTTTATATTTCTATTATTAAATAGTGATTTAATTATAAATAATTCTATTTTCTATAATTTAAATTTTGAATCGTTTTTTACTTTAATTAGATACTTTATTATATACACTGTAAAAAAAAATTTCTGTAGATTTACAGTTTTGTTTAGAATTTTATAAAAACTTGTAAAATAACTTCTTTAAAAGTAGTGAATTTAAAATCCCTTCTGTAAAATTAATACTTTTAATGTGTCAATTTTACAATTTTCTGTAAATTTACTACTCTGAATGTAGGTAATAAAAAGACAAAAATATTACCTACATTCAGAGTAGTAAATTTACAGAAAATTGTAAAATTGACACATTAAAAGTATTAATTTTACAGAAGGGATTTTAAATTCACTACTTTTAAAGAAGTTATTTTACAAGTTTTTATAAAATTCTAAACAAAACTGTAAATCTACAGAAAATTTTTTTTACAGTGTACTATTAATAAGTATTAATATTAATCTATTTGTTAAATAATTATTTAATTACTTTATTTAAATTGATTTAATTTCCCTCCTAAAATTAATTTTATTGCTTTACCTAAATTAATTTTAGTAGAGAAATTAAAATATCAATAAGAATTATTGATTTATTTATGAAAGCAGTTAATAATTTATCAATAGTAATTAATAAAACTATTTGTTCTAGAACCTCATATTCTTCTATTCAAAAGGAAAATCACATCTCCGCCACCTGAGAAATAATATGTATTTAAAGGATGATTTTCTCTCGCCAAGTGACGTTTTAAGTTAAGATATTAATCTTAGAAGAACTCAGCTAAAAATGGTAATGTACAAATAATTATTATTATTATTACTTTTCTATTGACTACTAGCACAATCAGCTAAAACTGCTAAACAATAATTTAATAAAATGAAATTGAGAAAATTGATTTTTTGTTTTAAATAAGTAAAATTAAAAATATTGTTTAGATTCTGACAATATAGAAAATTAAAAAAAGATATAAACAAATATGTTCATAAATAACGTAAGAACAATTTGTTAGCTGAGTTCTTTTAACGTCTTATTTCGACATGTCATTTATAGCATGTGAACTGAGAGTCTGTAAATATGTTAATAGATAATTTTTGGATTGTAATAACACTCGAAGGATAATTATGAAAAATTTATGTAGGAAAAAAATTATGAAAAAGAAAAACAGACAAAAACTTAACTACGAATATTTTTGTGGCAGACCTTCAAGGTTTCAGTATTAAACGATTTTTTTTCTACTATATATAAAAAGTCTGTTATATTTTTTTTTCTCGTCAAAAAGTCGTGTAAAACATGATCGGTTGCAATTATCAATATTGCACTCGACACGAGGCGTTTATGCCTAATTCGAAGATCTATAAATAATTATTATTAAAAAAAATGGAAAAAAATACAAAAATCTATTTAATACTATCATCGAAAATATTATTAAGTTTCACTAGGTCTGCGTCTACCTATACTTTTTTCAATTCTTTAAAATCAGTTCCACTAACATATAAGACTCTTTATAAAAAAAAATGGAAAGGAAAGAAAAAAACTTAAATTATTTTCTAAGCATCGAATGTCCAGTAATCAGAGTTCATCTCATCAAATTGAAATGATTTCTGTTGTTTCTACCTAAAATGATGATATGTATTTTAAAAAGCATCGTAAAATAAAATATATTCGTTTTTATAATTTATTGTTAATTTTTATTAATTTCGAATACTATTAATAGAAACTAAAATAAATTAAATTGCAAAAAATGAATTTTGCAAAATTAATTTTTTAATTAAATCCTAAAATAAAATATGTTTCGAATATTGATAAACATTATTTATTTCTTGCTTCATTGATAATAAATTAAAGTGCTAAAAAATTGGTGTTTTTTTAATTCGCAAAATTATTTTTTTTGTAAAAATTTCCAATAGAAATTAGAAATGTGTAAGACGTTTGTAACTTATGAGTTTGAAATTTCAGATCCGCCCACTTGAAAAAGGCTTCTTTACTTTTTATATGTACATGTTTTTGAGGGCCCATTCACTGGAATACCTTGGGAATTTCCATTGCTGACCTTGTACTGTCAACGTGACAAATGCGTGTTACGTATTAAAGAGTTGAAATCTTTTTTAAATATTTTTCATTCACAAGAGATAAAAGCAAAAGGAAGTTATAAAAACTTTTTTAAAAAATAATTAAATTTTTTTAATTAATTATTTTTAAAAATATTTTTCATTCACAAATAATATAAAAACAAACGGAAATTATTAAAATTTTCTAAAAACAATAATTCAATGTCGCAAACAATTTTTTATCAAAAAACATTTTTTTAAAAATTAAAAAAAGAATTTTGTTAAAAATAATTTTAATTTTTTGGGAATTTAAATACTTATTTAATTTAATTTAATTTTAAATTAAGTTTATCTTTTAATTTGTTAATTTCTTTATTAATTTCATCTAATACTGCACTGTTGAGAGTAATTATAAAAATATTTACTCATCATTCTGTTCTGAAATTTAAAAATTAATTCTTATTTATGTAATCTTAATTTCACTCTTCACGCTAGCCCTATTTTTAATATCCAATAATAAATTCCTAGCACTTTGAAGAATTCTAATTGTGAATATTTTAGAAAAATATACAAATTTATATTCTTTTAGCTAAAATTTTGTTTTTTCAAGAAATATAAAAACTAAAGATTAATTACAAAAAAATTCCAACGCCCGGCCCCTATTTAATTAAAGCAGATTCACTTTACTAAATGCGTAATATTTACTGGATTAGTCAGGATATTGCGAGTTTTATTCAGTCATTCTATTTTATACACAAATTAACATGTTGATTAAGCGTGAGACCTCCTACATTTTTTTTCTCCTTTTTTTTTACTGTTATTCATAAAATAATTTTCTGCCTTATAATGAACCCATTGTCACCCACACACGTGTCCTTCTATTTTGTCGAAATAATTTGCACAAATATTTTTTTTTTCTTGTATTCGTAAACATAATTATTGTTTGTAATTATCTTGATTATTTAACACAACAATGAGAAAAATATATTTTTTGTTCTATAATATTTTTTAGACTGTACAAATATGTTTTTTTGAGTTTATTTTTCAGAAAAGAAATTTTCCTGAATCGGAGAGATTTCGAATTTTCCATTGTCAATGTTTTCAATTTTACAGAAGGTATGATTCATTTTTTTCTTTTTTTTATCAATTATTATTTATTACTTTTTTCCTTTTCTCCTTTTTTAATTCTTTTCCTTTTTCCTTTTTTATCAATTATTATTTATTATAAAATATCTATTATTAAATTAATATTTTATAAATTTAAAATAATTTTCCACAATTTTTAAAAAAGATATAATATTAAAAAAAGCGATTAGGTATTTTAAAAATTCAGAACCGAAATGTTAAATATAGTGTGGTAATATGTTTTTTTACTACAATAAATAAATAAATAATAATAATAATTCCGATTTAAATATATAAATTAATAAAACACAGCTTTAAATAAACAAAGAATTTATTCCTCGAAGCTGGAATCAGGATACACGAATCGCCAACAATTAAATATGATATTCTGAGATGCCGAATTCTCAAACAGATAAAGTGCATCTTTACACTTTGGACCCAAAACGGCAACTGCCCAAGCCATCCCTTGGAAAACCGCGCTTTCCTTGGGAGTCACCAAATTCCTATCCCTTGCTGTCCTTGTCTAGCATAGACCATATGGTTATCATATGGTCCTCGTACCGCCTAAATCTCTGAGTCTCTCATTGTTCCCGTGAAGTTAGACCCAAAGTTGTTGTCAAGCAAGTTTAAGACATTTCACAAAAATTTCCTCTCCGACAATAGAAATAAAATATTTATTTTGAGAAAAAATTAATCAATTCACTTTTTGATAGTCTGAAAATATTGTAATAAAAAAATGATAAAACAAAGATAAAAGAACCCCTTTCGAATAAGGTCACTATAGATGTTTATTTAAAAAATTGTTGAATTTTATATTTCCAGTTTCAGGAAGAAATTCAAAACAATCCTCCGCTTATCTTCGCTGGACCAATAGTAAAATCATGCAACAATAAAAAAGAGAGAAAAAAAACAAGAAGAACAATGACTTCACTTGTCTAATTTACAAGTTCAAGGCATTAAGTGCTGAGTTATGCAGTGTCTCAATATACTTTCCTTTTTTTTCTCCTTTTGGTGAACGCCGTAATCTCCGGTATATCGAGTTTTATTGAAAGTCTGATTATTCTAATTTGAAAAGTACCTACTGATGTAATATTGCACGTCGTTTATGTTTTTTTCGATAAGCATATGTTTACACAAATGGCTGTAAAAAAAGTGGAGAAAGAGGAGAGAAAAAGGAACAGTGAATAAGAGGAATAAAAAAAAACGTGCAGAGTGATGAAAAGTAATCTTTTAGACTCTTTCGCATTGAGCATGAAGTAAAGGACCCCACATAATATGACCAGTCAGACGGGAACTGTCGCGTCCGAGTGAACTCCACGATTCTCCGTTATATTAAGTGCCGAAGAAAATATCGCAACTCTTTTTTTCTTCTCTTTGCTTTTTATCACACAGACATATATGTGCGAGGGAATCAAGAGGATTCCAATCAAGCAATTTCACTGAAAATTAAAATTATTAAGGAAATATTGGATTTCAAAAAAGCTAATACGGTAATTTGTACTTTATATTCGCAATGATTTGAATTTTTCAATTTTCCCAGTAGTTTTTTTCAGTAAATATTTATTTTATTTTTATGCAAAAGGCACTTTCAAGTAAAATATTCTTATCAGATGAAAATATCTATAATTGACATTTTCCTCAAATTATTATTTTTATCTTTATTGCGCAATGACATTTGTAAATAATTAAATTTTTGAATGTATTTTCAGTATTTTATAGTTCCTTTTTATTTATTTATTTAATTAAAAAATTTTATTTTTATTTAATTTAAATTAAAATTTTTAATTCAAAATTTTAAATAATTGATTTTACTCAAAAAATTTTTTTAGTATAATTTTATACTTGTTTTTTATTTACTTCAATTTTGTTTTTGATATCCATTTATTTTATCTAAAATAATAATTGAACTTTGAAATTTGATTCTGCTTAAAAAGTAAAATTTATTGTTACAGATAATTTCTCCAAGTCTGCATGTGGTTTAAAGGAAAAAGCTGTCAAACTTTATTCCAATGTTTGGGAAAATATTTTAAACAAAATTATTTTTATTGCAGGTAATATTATTTAATGTTATTCAAAATTTGACAGTCTTTAAATAAATATAAGATTTAAATTTGAAATATAAATACATTTAAATTTTATCTATAAGGTAAAAAAATTTCCGGTCGTTATCCATTGTATTAAGCAGAAGATAAATATTTTCTTTCCTTCGTATAATAATATTTTTTATTACTTTTATTAGTTATAAATGACAAATTTTGTTGAATGAAAAAAATTTTAATATTAATTAACAACATAAACAAGTACAGTTGACTTAATAATGAGATAAGAGAGATGAATTTACTTTTTTTATATTGTGTAATGCGAGTGATAATTAGAATTTCCTTTGGAAACCGCCGCAAACTAATTATTACTCACATTTATGCAGATTTAAGCAAATTTTGAAAGTTCTCTTTTTTTATACATTTTCATAAATTCAAATTCAAAGAATATAATTATTTAACTAAATAATTAATCAATTTGTCAATGAATTAAGGGGGAGTGACACCTTTGAGGTGCCTTTTAAACCTGTTTTTCATGAATTTTTTTAAGACACAGGAATAATGTAAACAAAATTTGGTTTCGAGGACTTTATTTATTAACTTTTTAAGTTTACGAAAATACATTTATACTTAAAAAAAGTTTCAATTTGTTGCCTACAGAGGGCGCCGAAGTTGGTCTCGTTTCTATGCAGGGTAAATCGGTGGGCAATATTCTGGTTAGACCGTTTAATCAAAAACCAAAATTCAAAGTTTTTCTGAATCTGCGATAGATTTAGCTTTCGAGTACGTAGGATATTTTAAAAATATTAATTTTTGTGTATTTGGCAGCTGTTTGATGAAAAAAGTCGATTTTTAGAGCGAAATTTTTTCAAAATATTTATTGCCAAAAAAAAACAAACAAACCAAAAAAAAATCCGCTGCGTACTCGAAAGCATTAGTAAATGACGAACAAAAAAAACTTTGGCCGAAGTCAATCCGATCAAAACTGTTCTGGCTAGACTGCCCACCGTTTTGAAAAATGTCATTTCGAGAAAAACGCATTTAAACTTATGTAATGTGAAAACATGAAAAATGAAACCTCTGTTAATCTACGATGTCTGCACCATATAAGTGACTTTCTACATTAATATTTCCTTCATTTACATCCTTTAGAGCAATTTGAAGCTGTCTTCAGTATTCTTGAGCTGCTACGATAAAAGAAAAAATAGCCAATGGCGCTAAAAAGAACTCGAAGCGCTCTTGGACACCTTTTACAGATTTCGATTTTTTTCACATAAAATAACTTCGAAATTACTTCTTATGATATAATTTCTATTCTACACCTCATAAAGTATCGTTTAAGCAAAAAAAAATAAAATCAAATTTTTTTCGGATCAAAGGTGTCACTCCCCCTTAAGTAATTATACAGTTAATAATGAAGTTTTAGTTAATACTATTAATTAATTAATTAATCAATTAATATAATTTATTTTTATTATTAACGTTAGGAATTCTTTTAGTTTAGTTAAGTAAATGAAATTAATTAATTACGCGAAGTAATATTTAATTCCCGTAGCTAATTAATTAAATAATCAGTTAATAAATATGATGGTAACTAATTTTTTTTTTTTTGTTTTAATTTAAACTAATAGAGAGACTTTGAGCAACTTTACTCCTGTCACATTAAATTGATAAAATATTCTCGTAACGACAACAAACTGTCTTCTCAAATTAGTTGCACTTCTTTGATAAGTTCGAACTTTTAATTATTCACTTAATCAGTTTAATTGAATTATACATTTAATTTATTTGATAACAAAAACTCTAGAATTTCTTTCCACTAAACCTGCATAAATATTTTAAAGAATAATAAAAATATGGGAAATTTAAAAATGTTTCTTCAATTCTGAAAATTTTTTTGTAAACATAAAAGTGATATTGAAGAAAATTATAAATTTGTTATTATTATTATTATTATTATTATTGTTGTTAGTTAAAAAACTTTCTTTCTGAAATTTAAAAAAAATTTATTATTTTTTAAAAAATATAATTTTTTGAAATATTATTCTTAAAAAATGCGATTATATTTCAAAAACAATTTTTAAAAGTAATAAAATTAAATTTTTTAAAATATAAAATTTATATCAATGAAATTTGAGAAAACTTTTAATAGCAAAAATTTTTGAAATTATTTTAGGAATATTCTTTATCTTCAAAAAAAATTTTAATTACAATTAATCGTAAGAACTAAGCTTATCATTGTCTTTACTGAAACATGTTTAAGGTGCATACAGTTTTTCTTTATTTACCTTTTAAAATCCGTTTAATTTTTCAAATTAGCCACATTGTTGACAAATTAAAAAAATTACAAAAAAGTAAAACTTTTACAATTGTTTCAAATCTGGGGTACCAAACCACCCCAGTTTTTCGTTAGTCTATAAAAAAATCATATTTTAGTTCTAGGGTTAATAAAAACTCGTACTTTCATTAAAATTCCATTTACAATCGTGCGGCATTAAAACTGAGCGCTACAGCGCTATGCGAGGATTTACGTTTTATTTTTTTTCTCAAAAACTACTGGCTGTCCCACGATGAAAATTTCAGCACAAGTTCAACACATTTATGGCTACAAATGGTAAAAAAATGATCAAAATTGAAGGTAGCATATTTTTTCTATGGCTTTTCAAAAAATGAAATTAATTTTTTAAACAAAAAATTTAAATAATTTTTTTAATTTTATTTTTTTAAATAAAAGTATATTTCAATACGAACAATTTAAGAGGTCATAAACTAAAATCCGTTAAGAACAAGCAGAGATATATTTTTCAAAAAAAAAGTACAAAAAAATTAAAAATCCAATATGTCCGCCAATTTTTGAAATTTTTTAAAATCGCTTGGGGATTTTATTTATTACCACCAGAGGATATAATCTACCCAATTTCAACCGAATCCCAAAACCTAATAAAATTTTTTGTGTTGAACTGACGTGGAATACACCTTAAATAAAAGTTTTAATACAACGGAACTCGATTTTTTAAAATTAGGTATAATGTTTTTCGCTCAGACAGAAGTACAAATTCTAGTGATAGTTTGCGTGGAGAGGGGTGCTGATTGTTACTTCGTATTTGCTATGTGCATCAATTATCTTAACTATGATCAAAAATATCGAACACATTTAATTGTTAAATTTACTTTTCATTATTTTCCAAATTTTTAGTTACAATTCTTCAAAAAATACAATAATATTTAAAAATAATTTTTTAAAGTGAGGAAACAAAATTGTTTATTTTTAATGTAATTTGAGAAAATTCATATTTTTTAAATTTTTTTAAATTATTTTCGGGAATTTAACTATTTTCAAAAACTTTTAATTAAGATTTTTTAAAAACTTAATTTTTTCAGAATTGATAAATAAAATTTTTCAAATTTCATTAATTTATGTTTACATAATTAATATTTGAATAGGGGAGAGTGGGGCAAACCGGACCGGTGGGTAAACCGGACTCCTCTCAATATTTCCGAAATGTCGAAATTGGAAAAACTGTTTTTTACAAAGGGCTTAGGGGGTTAAGTGTGCAAAAACTGCCCCCGCATCTATTTTTCTCAAATTTGGCCCATATATTACTATCCATATGACTATAACTTTCTGCAATTTTGAACTCAAAATTCGCTTTTTTGGGGGAGTTATGGAGGGGGAAAGCAAAATCAAAAAACTTATTTTTCTCGAAAACTACTGAACCGATTTTAATGAAATTTTAAGAGGTTGTAGATATAGATAAGACGATTTTAGAAAAAAAAATTTTTTGAAATTTTCAAAAATTTTTTTTAGGGTTATTTTTTGAAGTGACCACTTTCTCTTTTGTTGTAAAAAGTACCTTATAATGTCCCCTTTAACATATATTTTTTCCAAATTTTTTAAAAATATAGTTTTTGAGTAAAATGTCAAAAACCATGGTTATGCTATTTGTCACGTATACGGTAATGCACATATACATATGGGCAATTTCATGTGATAGGGTATAGCCAAATAAGTATGGAAAAAGTGACCCGAATATATTTTTCCCATTCATTCCTACCCACTTAAAAATAACTTTTTGAAATTTTTAACTCAAAGTTTTGAGTTTTTTGGAACTTATGGAGAGGAAGAAATCGAAAAATGCATTTTTCTCAAAAACTACTGTATGCATTTTAATCAGCTTTGTATATGTTGAAAAGACAATTAAAGAGATTCCAAAAAAAATTTCAAATTATTTTTTCAAAAAATTCCAAAAATCTTTTTTTTTTTGAAAATTTTAAAATAAAATTTTTTTGAAATTTTCAAAAAAAAAAACTTGTTTAAATTTATTAAAGTGACATTTTTATGTATTTTCTCATTTCATTCTCTTATGTCATCTACTTAATAAAAAAATTTTGCTTGACATGATTTCAGGGTGTGTCACGGTAAATGACTCAAAAACCATACCCAGTACATTTTTATGTTGTATGTAAATGGTTAATTTTAAAAAACCTGTCAAATATTTTTGCAACTTATTACTAGTGGGTTATTGAGGTTGCTAAATACAAATCTAATGTTACTATAAAAAATATTTTTAGACAAACAAAAAAATGTGGAAAATTTTAAAATCAAATTTTAGGATTTTTTGAGTTTTTTTTACCGTGTCGCACTCTAAAATCATCTAGGCCATTATTCTTTGATAAGTAAGACTGTTAAAAAAGTTAAATAAAAAAAGTGTGATGTACCGCTTCAACGATCAAAAAAGAAAAAAATTTTAAATGCCAAAATAAAAATTTTTGGATTTTTCTTTGGAAATAATTCTTTTTAACATCGATTTCAGACTTGTATTCAGAAAACCCCTAAGTATTAATTTGTGATTAAACAAATAATTAATTAATTAACCATTTACATACAACATAAAAATGTACCGGGTATGGTTTTTGAGTTATTTACCGTGACACCCTGAAATCATGTCGGGCAAAATTTTTTTATTAAGTAGATGACATAAGAGAATGAAATGAGAAAATAGATAAAAATT